TAGTTGTTGCCGTTCAACTGATTGCGAGTGGTATTCATATGCATCGCGAAATATCCGTTACTGTGTATTCTCATTACTTACATAACGCAAAAAAATGTATCAAATACAACAGTATGACAGTTCCGGTCAAGAATTCGACACAATGGGAATGGAATCGTCCTAGGGTACGTTTCTGTATTCTCATTTTGGCCAGGGTACGTATATGTATACAGAAACGTACCTGGGGGACATATCTGTAGTACCCGTGCCAATAGTCTGTCGTACAGACCCTGAAGCAAATATATCCAAGAAAGCCCACGCAAGTCTAGAAAATGTGGCAAGTCTATAGATTTCCTCAGCTTCAGGTATGAAGAAAGTCTCAGGGCTCCTTTTCATTATATTATAGTTTCTTTTACGATGAACTTTTTTCAGAAAAATATGTTCATTTCAGAGACTAGTTGTTAGTCTACCATGCCAACAACGACCCCTAAGGATCATGCGTCCGTGTGTACCGCTGTATACTGAGGCTGACCTTTGTCCCCGTCACGCTTTACGACTCCCACATTGACGACAATTGTACTGCAACACCGGATGTGCTCACAACACGCTATTATCATGCTTGAAGGGCATTTATACATCAATTTCAGCCGTAGCAATGGTTTCTAATCGAGACCAACTGTGTGGAATCAGATATTATATGGAATCTATTATATGGTCTCTGGTGGAATGGAGACCCGAGTTTGAAGCATTGACATTTTAGCCCACTTAGGGAAAATACCTAATGTCAGCCTTCTGCATATCAGCCTGTTATTAAAACCCGCTAATGGGAGATTGGGGTCAAGGTCGAATATAATGACTGAGTTTCGAAACCTCTGATATATATTGATGATAATCGCATATTACTTCTTCCACGGGAAGGTTGTGCTTCTGTTCTGCCATATTGCATATTAACATGGTATTCTTGTAATTGAGTATCGGTCAGGCTTGCTCCAGGTCTGTGCTGTACGATACGTCCCTGGATGTATAGTATTGTGCTTCTGTCCTAATAATAGGGAGGTCTGGTTTGCGGATAACGAGGACGCGTCTAGTTCCACACACACACGCACACACACGCACGCACACACACACCCACATGATAACAGCAACTATCATCATCATCGTCTGATGTCTACACAGCCATGGGCATAGGTATTCCGTTCATGTATTAAATGACACTCGACTTGCCTTCTACACGCATACCATATATTATACTGCTAAGCTTGAAAGATATTTATTGGTTAGCAGCAGACATTAATTTACATTTCAGACCTTAAAGAAACCAGGAAAAACTGTCACCAAATTGCTAAATCCAAAGGTTGTAATTCCGACTAGCTGTAACTTTTGTTTAGCTCTCTGAGAATCCGTCACAGTTGAGGTGAAGGTTTTGTCTTGTCGACAGCCATGGGTATTACGTCACTGGTAAGCCTAACCATGGGGCAGTGGATGGAGTGTTTGACCGAAGAGGGGAATGTTGCTGGTTCGATCCTCGACCCCTTTAAACCAAAATACATTGTACTTTAAAATAATCTGCTTTTGGTTTACCACCCTGCCTTGACTTCGACGTAAATGGGATCATGCAAGAACTGTAGGGTTGGAGTCAGTAGGTTGTCTTGTGGTTGTGAAAATGCAGTATGGTAACGCCAGGCGCGTAGCAAGCCGTTTTACAGTTATATATTTAGATAGTATTGAGGGCTTGCCCAACTTTCATGGTGACCTTTAGCAAAAATCATGTGTAAGCCCGGGCATTTTTATATAATGGTAGCTACGTCCCAGAACACTAAGTCTCTGAATATATGATTTGGATAGAAACAAACAATTCCTTTTAAATTGGAAAGTAGTCCCTGTGATTCAGATCATGACGAAATTTAGAATTGCTTCATTTAGGGCATTGTAGGGAGGATTAGGAATACCGAAAATAATGCGGGACTGTGAGAAACTAAAGTTAAAATATTGCGGTTCAATATTACTGTGAGACAGACAAAAGGGAAATATTGCAGTTTAATATTAAGTACTGTGAGACAGCGACATTGTAGACCGCTGTCCAGACCCGACATCAACACGCACGTACACGGCAACACACCTATTTGTAAAGCCTCATATGTTGCATAGGAAAAAGAACTTTTGACAAAACTTGTTTGCATGTTACTGTGTGAATAGCATGACGCATGACAGAATATTGTATATCGTATATGAGGTACGGGGTGAAAGATTTCGCAATTGAAGTCAGCGACGATTTGGCTCTGTTCCAAAAGTTGTTTATTGGCTTATTGAGCGGACGATGTCACAATCGCAGGTTTCAACGAATTGACCTCTTTCCGCGACGTTGTGTGGTGAAGCGTTCAGTGGCCTGTAACACAACACAGACATGCATGTACACTGACCTAAAACCCAGGTATGACCCCAATTTCAACTCAGCCATGTCACGGTATAGCTCATTGTGGGCGGTCCTTTCTCATTGGTAAGGTACTGGGGTAGAACAATCATTTATTTATACGTCCCCATTTCACCTCAACCATGCCACGGTATAGCTCATTGTGGACGGTCCTTACTCGTTGGTAAGGTACTGGGGTAGAAGAACCATTTATGTATACGTCTCCATTATCAACAGGCAAGCAAACAGGCCGTGCCTTATATTGAGGTAATGCCATTGAAAACCACACCAGCCGGAAGCAATGAGTAACAGCCTTGCATCAAGTGTGTATGACCTCTGTGAATCCCCATGATATCCAAACACCAGCTCGGAAAATAGCAACCGAGCAGAACTGTGTCGTTTCTCAGCAACTGAGTCTGAACCCTGCATTAAGTTGGTGCAAAAAGAGTATCGGGCAATTCTCACAAACTCGCACTGTTTCGGTTCCAAACTTGGTGCATGTCGGAGCTGCGTTTCGCTGAAGGGGTCGTTGTCGGCACAGGTGCTACATATATGTACCCCAGGTACTCCGCCCATGCACTCTCTCTGAACAGACTAGTCAACATGACCAGGGCCCCGTTTCACAAAGCTCTCGTAGCGCTACGACTATCGTAAGTCAATGTTACGGTACAGCTGGGCCTACATTAGCGTTAAGATAGTCGTATGGCATTTACGACTATCTTAGCGCTAAGAGAGCTTCGAAAATCTAGGCCCAGGAGGTATGAATGCTACGAGTAAAGTTAAGAGATCTTAGGCTTAGGAGAGCTTTGTGGAACGGGGCCCTGTACATCCGTTTCTCTTCAGTTGATCTGTTAAATTGTTGATGTTTGAGCCCACATCTAAGGCCTACGTCAGGTTAGGACAGTCAGTCCTCTCCAAAATGGACCGTATTTGCGAAAGTGATTATATTTCCATATTCAACGAAAATCTTTATTTAACTGCGGTGTCTCAGGATCAATAATTCCAAATGTAAAACTTGTATTTATATTTCTGAAATAAAAAATTATCTCCACTTTTGAAAAATACTTGTATGGAGGATGAATCACGTGCTGCCAACACAAGCGGCCATTTTATTCAATTTTCAAGTTTTCAGTTAATGGAGTTTTCACATTCTCGTTGTTGACTTACGTGTCTCTCCAGAAGTAAAATGTTTTGATCCAGAAGTTTTCTTTCCTTTTTATTTGGCCCTCTGTGACCGTTCTCAGATTGGGAAAGAAAGTATCCGTTGAAAAATGGATTAGACGAAAATCTTAAAACCGAATTTTAGCGTTACTAGCTGAACACAGTTACCGAACCACTACAAGCTTATGGTCCGAAACACTACAAAACTAAACCTGTATCAAATATGTAATCATTGAATATAACTACGTCTTGTTGTTTACCTTTTTGCCACCGTCTAACCTGGGTGTGTACAAGGTTTTTTTCTGACCCAGCATCTCGCGAGGTCACGGGCATATTTCTTGATAAGAAAGCCAAACCCAGGAATCGTGCAGATGGTATCAACAAGCAGATCTTTGTTTAATACAATATCCTGATCGACCCAGTGCATAGCTATATTGACGGAGCTTTTATGTTGGCTTATTGATCAAATCGTGGTCCATTTATTGACATAATGTGGCCCGAAGTGACACGCATGACGTCATAGCCCACGTGACAGACCGTTGCTTCTTTGTAAGGATCTACATCGCGCACCACAAAGGAATTGAGCATGTCACTTTCTGTGCGTTATTGACTGTATATCATTACATGGCACTGTTACATGTTTATCTGTCACACATGGAATAATTAGTTACATGTAACGTTTGAAATTGTTTTCTACTATAGTCAATATGGTTTCGATACAAATACGAACACAAAGGAATGTGACAACAGAAGACAACAATAATCATATGATAGGGTAATCTATACATTAACGCTTATACTCTAAAAATATATATAATTTTGATGACAATAAGCAACTTTATTTAAATTGAAAAGGAGTGCCTGTGAGATAGGAATGTGAGGAAAATCTAGACAGTTATAGTAAGGGCTGGCCGAAGGAAGAAATATGGTTTAGGGACTGTGAGGCAGGCTAGGCGGATTTTATACTCCTATTTCACGTTTTCAACGAATTTTTGACTAGGGGTCGGTAGTAAACTGATTTAGAAGTAGTATCTCATGAGATAAAGCAGATGTTGAAAATATATTAAAGCTATATTTGAAATTGTTCTTCATTTATTCATGACCAAGAATCCTAACAAAACAGGTGGTAGATATATTTTGACAAAATACGGGGGTGGAAAATCGAAAAAAACTCGAGCAAATCACCCCTAGACGGCAGAAGCGCAACTTTTACCCCAGTTTAACCAATATGTCAGATGTATATCATCGCGTATATCATGGCATTTCATATTGGAAAAGAAACATGATAGATGCAGTTCCCAGGTTCCTGACACATGTAAGGGAAGCAACTCTGCTTAGCGAATTATGGAGCCCTAGGCGACTGCTCCACAGGTGTGAATACGATGTAGAAGCATATTCGTTGAACCATTAAAGACGGACATTATTATAGTGTACATTATTATCGTTTCAGAAAAGTCAGGATACCCAGATCAGCCTCCACCCGGATATGGCCAGCCCCAGCCGGGGTATGGACAACCTCAACCCGGATATGGACAACCTCAACCCGGATATGGACAACCACAGCCCGGATATGGACAACCACAGCCCGGTTATGGACAACCTCAGCCTGGATACGGCTATGCAACTACAGACAACGTCAACGTCGTGGTAAGTTGAAAAGGCGACAGGCAACATCGGATGTGTCGACGTTGAACTTAGCATTACATCGACTGTAGCCCTGTCGAATGTAACATTATGTGGGAAGTGACGAAGTCGGATATGACGATATGTCGTTCTATAAAATTAAATAGTATAAGACATGTATTATCGAATATTGTATTTTATCGTCAGAAACATGTTCGAATATAATATTATTGTACTGGCTGCAGCAAATCCAAAAACAGTTATATTTTTATCATAATCCAAATTCCAACAAGAGATCCTATATATCTGTGCCTATTCTGTATCTCACAGAACTATAGCATTATGTATATTTATATATTCATTGCTTATACGCCTGCAGAAATCACCTGTTTTAAATACTCTAAGGACTCCACTATTTCTTTACATATTATATGATTTCTATAAGAATTCGAATATACTATTATAAAATCCATTTCTACGTTTACGCAACATATTTTTTGACAACTCAGCGGCATGTTAAGGTTATTCTAAGGAGAACCCCATTATACTGATACATCAAGGAGAACCCCATTATACTGATACATCAAGGAGAACCCCATTATACTGATACATCAAGGAGAACCCCATTATACTGATACATCAAGGAGAACCCCATTATACTGATACATCAAGGAGAACCCCATTATACTGATACATCAAGGAGAACCCCATTATACTGATACATCAAGGAGAACCCCATTATACTGATACACCAGGGAGAACCCCATTAAGGAGAACCCCATTATACTGATACATCAAGGGAGAACCCCATTATACTGATACATCAAGGGAGAACCCCATTATACTGATACATCAAGGAGAACCCCATTATACTGATACATCAAGGAGAACCCCATTATACTTACATCAAGAGGAGAATGATACATCAGGAGAACCCCATTATACTGATACATCAGGAGGAGAACCCCATTATACTGATACATCAAGGAGAACCCCATTATACTGATACATCAAGGAGAACCCCATTATACTGATACATCAAGGAGAACTGATACATCAAGGAGAACCCCATTATACTGATACATCAAGGAGAACCCCATTATACTGATACATCAAGGAGAACCCCATTATACTGATACATCAAGGAGAACCCCATTATACTGATACATCAAGAGAGAACCCCATTATACTGATACATCAAGGAGAACCCCATTATACTGATACATCAAGGAGAACCCCATTATACTGATACATCAAGGAGAACCCATTATACTGATATTATACTGATACATCAAGGAGAACCCCATTATACTGATACATCAAGGAGAACCCCATTATACTGATACATCAAGGAGAACCCCATTATACTGATACATCAAGGAGAACCCCATTATACTGATACATCAAGGAGAACCCCATTATACTGATACATCAAGGAGAACCCCATTATACTGATACATCAAGGAGAGATACACCCCATGATACACCAGGGAGAACCCCATTATACTGATACATCAAGGAGATACTGATACATCCAGGAGAACCCCATATACTGATACATCAAGGAGAACCCCATTATACTGATACATCAAGGAGAACCCCATTATACTGATACATCAAGGAGAACCCCATTATACTGATACATCAAGGAGAACCCCATTATACTGATACATCAAGGAGAACCCCATTATACCGATACATCAAGGAGAACCCCATTATACTGATACATCTATAGAAGAATATGAGTAACACGCGTCCAATATACATAAATTTAACACATCGTTGAAGAACAATAACTTCCTTTAATAAAACAATTGCAAATTACGTTATATTACTTCACTTCCCGAGCCCCTATCACCTGAAACAAAGTCCAAAGAATAGTTCCTGTAAATAAGGTAACAATAGATTTTAGATCTCCTGACTTCCATATGCAATCGACTCATTCAGGAACACTTCGAAGTCGCGTCCGCCGTTGTTGACGTCACTGTTCCTGTCACCGTCACATACATCATGAACGCGTCGATGACCAGGATTCAGCTTCCTGTTTGATAAATATCTTCAATCTAATTTAAAGTACTTTTAAATATAATTTTCAATAGAGTCCTAAAGCTATCTTGAAATATTAGGCCCTTATGGATTAATTTATTTACATTAATTACCATCGATTAAAAAAATATACACCATACACAATCCATAAAGTTATCCATTGGATATTATCAAAAACATGTTCCTTAACTGAACGGTAATATTCATGTTTACCCAAAAAAGTAAAACAAAATAAAACAGAATGAAAAATTCCAACGCTTGAAAATGCTCTATACGTTTAACATATTATATGTTGCAAGTACCCGAGTTTTGTACATGTTAAACAGATGGCCCGTATTAAGACATCTGTGCATATGCTGAATTGATTTCTGTCTCCACAACCTGTCTGAATTGATCGATACACTACTTCTTGTAAATAAACCCATTGTCCTCGGCGGTATTTGAGCCAGCCCCGCCATTTCAAGTAAAACGACAGCGACGGCACGACTCCGTGTTTGTTCAAACAACTTGTCATCAAGAGAGTTGGTTTATTATCATAACGTCAAACTCTGTGTCATCAAGGCACTTTATGTTCAGCTTAATCCCCTTACTAACGTTACAGAATCTGGAATTACATGAATAGAATATAAATGGTACTGATAAACAACATCAGGATGTTTGTCTGACAAAGCTGATGACATATGTATTCCCGCTTCGTCCTAAGGATTGAAATCAATGAGTTCTGACTCGTCTGCGCATGCGTGATGGGGATGTGGGTGGGTAAATATTTGATGGCAGATGTTCCACGGGAATATTGATGCAACTAGTCAGTATTCAGAACAGCAGTTGCACTTTAACAAACACTGCAAGTAGGTTAGGTAGGGTCGCGTCAGATATCGCCAGACATGTTTCATTAAACGATCACTCGCGGGATGATATAAAACCACCTAGGGTCCATGCAGGTAGCAAAAGTACTGTAAGTCCCCATGGTCCCTAGTATGGTGATCTGCCTTCTGTTGTTGGCGATCTATAGCCCGTTTTCATACTGAGTTGCTAATTAACAAATTACTATATATATGATCCGAAATTAGTTTTAAATAAAATGTGATAATCAAGTTGTTATACTGCCCTTCGGCGACCGGATTTTATACCATTTAAACATTTTTCGTATATTTGTTAATGACGTATAATTTTCTCTCGTTACTATATGGCTCAAACATTGCCATACAATTGACGATACATTTTAACTCACTCACTCACTGTTCGATCACTGGAGTTCCCTCAGGTATATTGCTAGTGGTTCTATTGATATTTGTTCTGATATTTATATTCCTTAAATTGTTCCGTCTCATGCGGTGATTCTGGCAGTGAATTACAGGACAGTTCCAACACCAACTCACAGAACATCTCACACAGTACTTCTAGGGACGATCTAGCCTTGCCCCAAGCCTGTACTGAAGGCTAAGCACAAGAGAGTATAGAAATTCTATCCTTTAAAAAGCAAGTCTAGATTAGTGGACAGTACTAAGGACGCCAGTCTGTTAGAGGTATATATTTTTATAGAAATTATCATTTAAACCATTTAGAAACTTGTGCAAGCCTAGGGACGATCGACACTGCAAAGTTGTTAACAACCCACAGAATCTCACATAGGTATTCTACTAGTCTGTCATACAGACCCTGAAGCAAACATATCCAAGAAAGCCAACACAAGTCTAGAAAATGTGGCAAGTCTAGATTATCACAGCTTCAGGAAAGAAGAAAGTTTCAGGGCTCCTTTTCATTAAATTATTTTTTTTACTATGAACTTGAGTAGTTGTTAGTCTAGTATACTACAGACTAAACAGTTTTGTGGTTTGTTATAAAAAACATCCCGTGCGTACATCGATTACTGTGTATAAACACTAAAAGAGCTTCAGTGCGAACCCATTTCAACCCAACAAACAACCAAAAGATGATATAGAATTCATAACGGAATCATAATTATATATGGCATGGTTTACAACAAATAAAAAAACCTGCAAATGAATCACAATAGCAGCGCAAAATAAACTGAGAGTACGTACCGAATGACAGACAGTACAAGTGCAATGGTTGTATACAACATAATGACAATGGGGATAACGAAAACACAGTTTTGATAATATTCGCCTTGCAGCAGTAGTGGTCGATCTTCCAAAATAGGCCACCTGTGAAGATCCGGGATAGAACTGGACTAACGGGATCGGGTGGTCAGGCTTGATGACTTGGTTGACACATGCGCTTTAAGAATGCACCTTGCGGATGGATGCAGTGCTACTTAAATACTCATCAGTATTATTATTATTATCACATGTCATCGTGTTCCAATTGCGTAGATCGATGTTCATGATGTTGATCACTGGCTTTTCTGGTCAGACTCGATTATTTACAGGCCATTATTTACACCCAAACCAATCCAAAATAGGCCTAGAATGGAAGTAGATCATCACACAAGTGGTCTTGGTGTAATCTAAGATTAGAGAGGCCCGAGCTAATCCTTATATTCAGCTAAAGTGTCTTCTAGAACATTCCGTAACATGCTGGGTTAGTCTATACTGGACAGGTCTCTGTTGTAGAAACTTCAACATAACACATAACTTAGTATGGCAGCTAGACTAAGGCTTAGTCTCTGAATATATATAATTTTGATAGTAACAAACAAGCCCATTTATATTGAAAAGGAGCCCTAGGGAGACCAGAGATTAAGAACCTGAGGAAATCTAGACTTGCTTTATTTAGGGCTTTAGCACTGCAGAGAGGGCTTGGCAGTAGGGAAATTAATGTGGTTCAGGGACTGTGAGACAGACTATATGGCAGCTACCACACCACAACACGCTACTAGTACTGAATCTTAACAGAAACAAGGCACACAATAACAAAGTTGTTCAACCAAGAATAACGCTGCCACGTAACAGTGGGTTGTTTGGATGATCAGGACTATGACCGTTACTACTTCGTGTACAGTGGGTGGGCCTGTACCCTTTGATTCGTCCCATGAAGTATATAAAGGGTGGATATGTATGTCAACTTCAGTAATATGACGGACGTTTCATCGAGTCCCTCATATTTCTGAACGTGACACCTATTAATGTTCATCCTTCATAATGTCATTCAAATACCTATAACGCGTGCGTTTGGTTACCTGTACATCGCGTTGTATGCCAAGTGAGGTACATCATGGATGTTATTATTTTTATATTATTATTCTGATTAGGTGTTTGTGGACCGTGATTTATCCAGTAAATTGTTCTGAGATTGTGCGTTAGATTAAGGTATCCAAAACGTCAGTAATGATGATGATGATGATGATGATGATGATTCACAGGTCGCCCAACCACAGACCATGGTCGTTCAACCAGCAGTGCGTCCTCCAGACTACCTCATCCTGTCCATCGTGTCCTGCTTCTTCTGTTGGCCAATGGCTATCTGTGCCCTGATGTACTCCAATAACGTAAGTATTCCAGAGTGCGCGTGGGCTATAGTAAGTGAATCTTGTTGGACGCCGCACGGCCAAAGGTCCAGGTATCAACTTAAACAACCTTAAAGTCGTTTCCAGAGAGATTATAAATGGGGCGACGGCCAGCCCGTTGCTACCGCTACTGTTAAAACAAGCCCTATCCTAAGTCACGGTTTTGCCGTGGTGTGCCAGATCCAAAGATCCGAATCTTTGATTTGGGCAGGAAGAAGGCTCGTGTTGTTTTCGCCAGAGAGTGGGTTGCAAAGGTGCGCACTCCCACTGTTGTCCTGAAAATGAAGTGTGTGCCCCATCCCCGCCCTCCCCTTTCTCAAAAAGCTGTATCCGCCCCTGAACTGCATGTTCAAATTACAATATATTGATACTGTGATTAGTTTTGTAGTAGTAGTAGTAGTAGTAGTAGTAGTAGTAGTAGTAGTAGTAGTAGTAGTATCCGCGTCTTTGATACATTAATATTATCATTATTGTGTGTTTAAAGGGATTAACATGTTTTCATATATCACTTTCAGTCCCGCAACTCGGCCCACTCCGGTGACCTTGTATCAGCCGAAACCCAAGGGCGAACAGCCAGGAATATCGCCATCGCTGCCATAGTAATTGGCATCATCATCGTGGTAGTGGCAATCGTTGTCCGAGTAGTATTGGTGTCTACATACACGTCCAGCACGTACTACTATGGATAACACCGTACGGGAGTCGGACAGCGGACCACGAGGTTACTCTAAATAAACTGTAAATAAGAAAACGATTTATCGTTAGTATAACTCAACTCGTCTGTAGTTGATCGAAAAGTGTAGAATCCCTACCAACCTGTAACAGACTTTCATTCGTGCCATCCCTCGGAAGTGTTGTAACCATTGTGCAGGGGAGGTAACTTTACAATACCATGAAAAGTTATCTGCCCCTGGTTAAGGTGTCTGTCTGAAATATCGCATTAGATCGGTTCATGTTGTAATTTTCATGAAACACACCGACACGACTACATTTCATCGCGTTCTGTCGTCGAAGACGTCTCGTTGTCGACTGTTTAGATGACGACAACAACAGGTCAACGTTCTTTCGTTGACAGTCAGTAAGGAGACATTATATGTCCACTTCCATCAGCTCCATGTTGACAATCTGATTGTTGACCTGTTTGTGTCACATTTGCAATTGTTTACATCTGACATTCACACAAATAATATAATTTGATTCTTACTGTTTTGAACAATTTGTTATATCTACTTAAACATGGTTAGAGGTATCTGGTTATAAAAATATAATCCTTCGCGATACTGTTTTCCTTACAACTTGGCTGCATTCGATGTCTTGCGTCAAGACTTAAACTGGTTCAAAGATTAGTCTGCGGAAAATGAGACGGATCCTTGTGCCTTGTGAATACAAAGCGATGCATATGTTAAACAGAGCAGCTCTTGTGTGTCTTATAGTCATGTTTATTTGTAAAACATGACCGAAAATATGCATAATAGATATTTTTCCCCGTTTCTTTTGTCGTTTCTTTTATACATAAGCATGACGATGTTGCAGTTTGTATTCATACTTACAATACTGTTTTACATAAACTTTATTATTTGAAATAACATACCATTATTTTAGAGTAACAGAGTTTGAAATGATGGTGAAACGTGTAAATATACCTTTTTGTTTGCTGATGTAATCGTTCCTTTTATATGTGAGCAAAGCTCATTTTTTTAAAGAAAAGGGTGAATAACAGTCTTTTAGTTAATAATGAGTATGGTTCATTCATATTTCAACTTGACTAGCATATTTTCATGAAAACGGTTTTCTACCTTTCGTTTAGATCTTATTCTTTGTTTATCGTTTTCATACATTTATTGTTAAAAGTAATTAAACTGTTTTGTATAAACGATGATGTGTTGTGGTTTCTTATTCTTGTGTTATAAAACAGACATTTTAGGAATACCTCTACTGGTCTAGCTCTCACAGTTTTCTGGTTACCTGAGGGGCGGTGGAGTAGCCTAGTGGTTAAAGCGTCCACTCGTCACGCTGAAGACCCGGGTTCAGTTCCCCACATGGGTGCAATGTGTGAAGCCCATTTCTGGTGCCAACAGCCTTGATATTGCTGGAATATTGCTAAAAGTGGCGTAAAATCATACTCTTCCTCTGGTTACCTGACACATTGGAAACATTTGCAGTACAATTTGCATATCCGGATATCTCATACCCCAGTCATAGACAATACTTTTCAAACCTCACACTTCGTAAACCGCATATTCCGGACACCTCAGACTCCGGATCTAGTCTATACTCTCTGCACAGATCACATTTTGAAAAAAAGATATTAAGTATAGTTCATACTCCATATATAAACACTTTGCAAACCTTAGACCTCGTAAAACTTACATTCCGAGCACTCCATACATGATACATCACCTTCTCTGACTCTCCAAACAGTACATATTTTAGACACACGGTATGCTGCAATGTGGGCATTAAGGAATTGGTACACCACTGGAAAGATCAGAATCTGTGTATCTCACGTCCCTGTGTGGTCCGGGCACTTTAAGCCATTGGAAGCAATGTATCCTGGAATATCGCACTCCTTGTAAGACCGGATGTTGACTGCCTTATTCATTGAAGGTATCAGAATTCGGATAACTCTTCCTGTATTATATTGACCTCTTCTGTCAACTTTGCTTTCGGACCACCTCATAATTATGGGCCTCAGTATCAGGATACCGTATTTCCTCTTATAAGCGCTCGGGCGCTAATTTTCTTCAACGGACTTCCAGATCCGGTGCTTATTAGAGAGTAGAGACCCGTCGCTTATTGGAGACCCGTCGCTTATTAGAGACCCGGCGCTTATTAGAGACCCGGCGCTTATTGGACCCGGCGCTTATTGGACCCAGCGCTTATTGGAGACCCGGCGCTTATTAGAGACCCGGCGCTTATTGCGCTTACTGGGACATGTGGAGGACAGGAAGTTATGACTAAAGGGACCATTCCTTAATAAATATATTCTTGGATAAAGGGAGAATCCATTTATAAAAGACGTACCCGGTGCGTATTAGAGTCCCGGCGCTTATTAGAGACCGGCTCATATTAGGGGAAATACGGTAGATCTTTCGCTGTAAACATCGTATTCGGATCACACATTGTAAACTTCGTATTAAACTTCAAATTCGGACCACCATACGTTGCTGAATACATCATAATTAGGATTTGTTTATGTAGCATTGGCATACTGCCACAGTTACTTCCCCTTTGTGTCACACTTGAACTTTGTATTTCAAACAAGCTTGCACAACTTTAATCAGATAAATTACATGTGATTTTGTATACTGCTTGCCTACAGCCATAGAGTTACTTCCCTTTGCATTTGTTTCTCAACAAGCCTGTACAACAGTTCATGTCCATGTGACTGTACCTACTTTCTGCTAAGCTGGAATAAAATAAATATTTAAAAATAATTAGGATTTTTACTAAATTTCATATTCGGACCACCCTGGTTACTGAAAGCATCAGCATAAGGACACCTCTCATAGCCGTGTAAACCTGAGATACCGGACACCTGCCACTACTGGAGCAGGGTTTGGGTCTATATGTGGCGGGGTAGCTCCCTGTGCTATCACTATAAAACCATCGCAAGTCAACACAAGCAGTCACACACAAGACTTAGTGTACATACACGTCACTTTACAGAAGCTCGACGTAATCAGAAGCATTCCACCTCACAGCTGACCGACCGTTACACTGACGAAAATATGACGTGCTGTCTCCTCTAGCGGATTTTTCTGATTACCCGAAGCCCATCTTTAAAGCAATATGGCAGAAGCAAAATAGATAAAAAGCAACAAAAAGACCATAGTAAACACATGGTTCGAATCACTGTTTGGACAATACTTTAAAAAAAATAAAAATCTAGACTTTTGCAATCATATATTGTTTTAAATGCTATGATTAACATATATTTCAAATTTGACCTACGTCACTTCCTCTGACACCAAACTGACACGTCGTGTATTACGCTGAACGCTTAGGTGGCGCTCAACCCAACCGATTAATCACTCAGTTCCCCAAAGAAATACTGTCTGTCTGCAAAGAAATACAAAACCTTCACACTGTACATGGTAAGGGATCAGTTTATTATGTTCAGTTGTAACTTTCACGAATATATACCCCATGCTATTACTTTTCTGTCAAAGTTTTATTTATTATAACTTCATTTAAATTATGAAATCATGTGTTTTGACAATGAAGATGGTGTTCAAGTTTCTGCTGATAAAATGTCATTATGACAAGATTTAAATGCAAAGCAATCTTTTTTAAAGTGTAAGTAAATCAGGACGATTGTATTAAGTTTTATTCAGTGTGGGGTATATGGGTTTGTAAAGTACGGGAGATTAAGTTTATATAACTGCAAGTCCCGGTTTGGCAGAGTACGTGTGACATGTGTTAACACAGATGCTTTTCATCAGTGACTTAAAAGCAAAATATCTTCATATTTTTCCCAAAACATTCATGTATTTTCAAATCCATTTCAACGTAAAACAGAATCCAATGCAATTGGTAAGGGCAGCATTTTTATGGGTTTCGCGTAGCCACCGGGATCTAAAGTTAGGTAGGTCAGTCAGTTTTTAAAAAAAAACGTAAAAAAAATTTAAAAGAAGACAAAAACATCTGTAACTTTGATTCTGCATTAGTTTGCCTGTTTAGGAGTGGGTATGCGAAATCTGCATCTGGAAAAGAAGAAAAGACCTGTCTTTTAAAACTATTTATTCTATTTTCTTTGGTATTTGGGAAAGCAAAATATACAGCAAAATCATTCGTTGTCAATTTTACAGATTTCCAATCCATAACACAGATTCCACTGCAAGTAAGAACAGCTGAGAACAACATCTGATCTTACTCTCACAAAGTTAGACACCTCGGTCATTGAAAAGTTTCTTAACTGTGTAAGTGTATTAATATATCAAATGTTAAGAAAGAAGAATGATAGCGCTTAGTCGTCATGTAAATGTTCACTTGTCCTCTACCTACAGCCTTCGTCCAAGCACTGAATGAACTGTCGGGAGGTACAAACGACCTTGACCTTAGTGAATATGTCAAAGCCTCGTTTTGATCTATGAACGTCAACGATGAAAAGATGTCAAACTGAACTACCGTACGAGCAAACATCATATTGTAACTATTCTGATTTACATAATGAGTGTAGGTAGGTTGTTTTCAATTCATTCTTAAGCAGAAATTATAGGAAGAAATACGTATTTTGTTTAGCATTAGGCGTTTATGGCGTTTTTCGGCCATGTTCAGTACCAGATGACAAAGTTAACGATCTTTAGATGCGCAGTAGATAGATTCTATACCAGGATAGCGTAAAATAGGTATCGCACTCACTTTGAATTTTTAAATTTACTTCATTTGTTACAAATGGTTGTTAAGCAACTGTCCAAGCGACATTACTAACATCAGTGTTAATATAGGAAATTCGGAAGCATTTTGACGATGTGTGTATCCTAAGTTCGTGACATGAAAACACGAAGGAGTACGCCAAACTAATCCTGCTGTTTCTCGAATCAGAGACAAAACCCACAGTCTAGAATTAACAGCCTATTAAATAAATCAAGAATATTCATATTCACAACTGTCCATAATGTATTTACCGAAGCACATGGGCATGTAAGTAATAATACACACTATTAAATTCGTAGACGAGTCGGAAATATTAGAGTAACAGTATGGAATAACATTTACATGGTTCCATGACTGAATAGACGACATTGTAGCAATCAGTTCTGTACATTCAACATGTGACATTTCTGGAAGATAAATTGTGCACTTGTGTAGGCTTCAGGCGTTGGGGTTCATTTTCTAGGACGTCAACTGATCGTAATTCAAAGTGCCCTGACGATATTTTCAGTTTTAAGAATGTCTTATTGTGTGAATGACATCGTGAATTGATCTTTTGTTTGCCAAAATATTGTCATCACTGAAAAATGATGTGTAAAGTTTTAAGTAACACAGAATCATACGAGGGAAAGGAATGCCGTGTGCATGATTACTGATCTGTATGTGATTACTGACCTGTGTTAAGTTACACTCTTGTGTCTCATGAGCGGCCTGTATTAAATTACTAACTTGTGTATCATAACCGGCCCGTGTTAAAGTACTAACTTGTGTATCATAACCGGCCCGTGTTAAATTACTTACCTGTATATCATAACTGGTCTGTGTTAAAATGCTTACCTGTATATCATAACTGGCCTGTGTTAACTAACTAACTTGTGTATCATAACCGGCCCGTGTTAAATTACTTACCTGTATATCATAACTGGTCTGTGTTAAAATACTTACCTGTATAATATCATAACTGGCCTGTGTTAACTAACTAACTTGTGTATCATAACTGGCCTGTGTTAAAATACTTACCTGTATATCATAACTGGCCTGTGTTAAAATACTTACCTGTGTATCAAAACTGGCCTGTATTAAATTACCAACTTGTGTATCATAACCAGCCTGTGTTAAATTGCTTACCTATGTATCATAACTGGCCTGTATTAAATTTCTAAATTGTGTATCATAACTTGCCTGTGTTAAACTACTAACTTGTGTATCATAACTGGCCTGTATTAAATTACTAACCTTTACATCATAACTGGCCTGTGTTAACTTACTCACTTGTGTATCATAACTATCATGTGTTAAATTACTAACTTGTGTATCCAAACTGGCCTGTATTTAATTACTAAATTTTAAATCACAACTGGCCTGTGGTAAATTACTAACTTGTGTATCAAAACTGGCAGGTGTTAAATTACTCACATGTGTATCAAAACTGGCCTGCGTTAACTTACTAACTTGTGTATCATAACTGGCCTGTACTAAATTACTAAATTTTACATCATAACTGGCCTGTGTTAAATTACTAACTTGTATATCATAACTGGCAGGTGTTAAATTACCCACATGTGTATCAAAACTGGCCTGCGTTAAATTACTAGCTTGTGTATCATAACTGGCCTGTGTTAAATTACTAACTTGTGTATCATAGCTGGCAGGTGTTAAATTACTCACATGTGTATCAAAACTGGCCTGCGTTAAATTACTAACTTGTGTATCAAAACTGGCCTGTGTTAAATTATTAACTTGCGTATCATCACTGGCCTTTGTTAAACTACTAACTTGTGTATCATAATTGACCTGTGTTAAACCACTAACTTGTGTATCATAATTGACCTGTGTTAAACTACTAACTTGTGTATCATAATTGACCTGTATTATATTACTAACTTGTGTATCATAATTGACCTGTATTATATTACTAACCTGTGTATCATAATTGACCTGTATTATACTACTAACCTGTGTATCATAACTGGCCTGTGTTAAACTATTAACTTGTGTATCATAATTGACCTGTGTTAAACTACTAACTTGTGTATCATTGTTGACCTGTGTTATACTACTAACTTGTGTATCATAATTGAACTGTGTTAAACTACTAACTTGTGTATCATAATTGACCTGTGTTAAACTACTAACTTGTGTATCATAATTGACCTGTATTAAACTACTAACTTGTGTATCATAATTGACCTGTATTATTTTACTAACTTGTGTATCATAATTGACCTGTATTATATTACTAACTTGTGTATCATAATTGACCTGTATTAAACTACTAACTTGTGTATCATAATTGACCTGTATTATATTACTAACTTGTGTATCATAATTGACCTGTATTATATTACTAACTTGTGTATCATAATTGACCTGTATAATACTACTAACTTGTGTATCATAGTTGACCTGTATTATATTACTAACTTGTGTATCATAACTTGCCTGTATTATACTACTAACTTGTGTATCATAATTGACCTTTATAATACTACTAACTTGTGTATCATAATTGACCTGTATTATATTACTAACTTGTGTATCATAATTGACCTGTATAATACTACTAACTTGTGTATCATAGTTGACCTGTATTATATTATTAACTTGTGTATCATAACTGGCCTGTATTATACTACTAAATTGTATATCATAATTGACCTGTATAATACTACTAACTTGTGTTTCATAGTTGACCTGTATTATATTACTAACTTGTGTATCATAATTGACCTGTATAATACTACTAACTTGTGTATCATAGTTGACCTGTATTATATTATTAACTTGTGTATCATAACTGGCCTGTATTATACTACTAAATTGTGTATCATAATTGACCTGTATAATACTACTAAATTGTGTATCATAATTGACCTGTATTATATTACTAACTTGTGTATCATAATTGACCTGTATTATACTACTAACTTGTGTATCATAATTGACCTGTATTATACTACTAACTTGTGTATCATAATTGACCTGTATTATACTACTAACTTGTGTATCATAATTGACCTGTATAATACTACTAACTTGTGTATCATAATTGACCTGTATTATATTACTAACTTGTGTATCATAATTGACCTGTATTATATTACTAACTTGTGTATCATAATTGACCTGTATTATACTACTAACTTGTGTATCATATTTGACCTGTATTATACTACTAACTTGTGTATCATAATTGCCTGTATTATACTACTAACTTGTGTATCATAATTGACCTGTATTATATTACTAACTTGTGTATCATAATTGACCTGTATAATACTACTAACTTGTGTATCATAATTGACCTGTATTATATTACTAACTTGTGTATCATAATTGACCTGTATTATATTACTAACTTGTGTATCATAATTGACCTATATTATACTCCTAACTTGTGTATCATAATTGACCTGTATTATACTACTAACTTGTGTATCATAATTGACCTGTATTATACTACTAGCGCCTGTGTGATTGAGACCAGCCATCCCTTTTTAATATATGTACCAGTATCCATCATATATAAGGCGCTGGAAATTAATGAAATAAACGATTTTCCATTACTATATCCGAATTAGTGAAGTAATACAGACTAAGAAGATGAACATGTACCTTCTATATCACCGAGACTAAAAGATTTTGAAAAATCTATTGAATAACTATTTTAAGATGGATAGAAATATGTAGATATTTTTGGTTTATGTTTGGGAGATGTCAACAATGTTGTCGATATTTTTTATTCATTTCAGAAGGTTGTTACAGTTGAATGTATTCAGACAATTTGTTTTCACATGCATGGTCAGGGTAGTTATATGACAAAGCTATATATTTAATATATTTAATTAATTATCTGATGTGTGTACCAGGAAGTAGTAATGGTTCAACATCTAGATTCTGAAATGAACATATTTTACAGAAAAAGACAGTTCCTAAATTATATGCATAAAATATAATAAAAAAGAACCTTTTCCTCATTTCCAGAAACTGTGGTAATCTAGACATGCCACATGCATGGGCTGAATTGGCTATATTTGTTTCACCATCTGTATGATAGATTAATTTCTGACATATGAAAGTGGCGTTATTTGTTCAGTGTGTGAATATAAGTACACATGTACATTTCCCAAGCAGCTATTACATTTTAAAATATTTCCCTAGTTGCATTTTTCCTCAAAGTCAAATGTCAACTTGATGTATAGTGAGTCTATTAGTGACCATCCAGTTTTCTAGATTTGCAAATCTACACAATGTACACAATAAAATTCAGTAATTCTATTAAGTTTCCACAATAATTTTGATAAAATAACCCATTGTAGAATTTGAAGAACTTGCCTTATAGCACTTTTACAGTTATATAAGATATCATATTTATCTGCACTATACATTCATATTTGAACTTGAATTAATTAACATTTATCAACGGGATATCACGATCCTTCAGTTAATGAAGTCAGTTAGAAATGTTACACAAAATTGAGAGACATTTATGGACTTCAAACATAAATAGAAACACACACGTGATGAGTGATACTCTAGTTGCTTTACTGTCCTTTGTCGGCAGGTCTTATAATCTCTATGTATATTCTATTTTAATGTCAAGTGTTCTCGTCACGATATTGCTGAAATATTGCCGATGTGACGTTAAATAATAACTCACTCACACGTGATGAAGGAGTAAGAATATTACTTGAACCGTCATTGGCATCCATACATGTCTCGCGTCAGTAAATGGTCAAGGGGAGATAAGTCTTCCCTTGTGCAACAAAACCTTGTTGAGTCGAAATCTCATAACTGCCAGTAAGATTTTAAGCCGAATGTAACTTCTTGTAATCCTTGATACAGTAATGCTAAGTATAGCCAAAATAATTGATACTGTTTCTAAATTTGCGTGAAGATTTCTTTAGGATTCAAAAGTGGCATGAAAACGGAAATAAGTCTAACAATATTTTGCACACTTGGGATGATAACGATTTGTTTAAAAGTTTTCCGATTTTTGTCTGAAAGTGGTTTTTCATTTCATTCAATGATGGGGGCGGTGGGGTAGCCTAGTGATTAAGGCGTTCGCTCGTCACGCTGAAGCCCGAGTTCATTCCCCACATGGTCACATTGTGTGAAGCCCATTTCTGGTTTCCCCGGTCGTGATATTGTTGGAATATTGCTAAAAGCGGCATAAGACCCAACTTACTCCGTCACTACTCACTCATTCAAAGCTGTAAGGTACTGACCTTCGCCTCTGCATCTGAGAGCAGATATAGAAAATCGTTGGACGACTTGACCAGTGATGAGTCTAGTGGTTGATATCGTGAGCACGATCATACGTCACCATGCCTCACCGCTTTACTCTTAACGATGGCCACATGCTGTTTGGGTCTCACCCTAACTGCTTATCCGGAATCCGACTATGGATACCAAGCTATAGCTAGTTCCTTAGTTAGTTTGTTGTTTAAGTGTCACTTGAGAATTTTCCAGTTATATGACCACGTCTATAAATAGCCGAGTTTGGAGCCGAGAACCCAGTGATTGACAGCATGAGCATCGATCTACGCAGTTAGGATACGATGACATGCATCAACCAAGTCAGCGAGCCTGACCACCTTTCCATTTGTTGCTGTGATTCCGAAGACTAATTCTAAACGGGATCTCCAGGGGTTGATACCTTGATCAAAGCCACCCGTAAATGTTCCATGGGGTTCAGATCTGCAGTCCTTGGGGACCATGGCACTACCTGGATGTTGTGTTCCTCAAAAATGCTGGCCGTCTTGTAGGGGTGAAACGGTACGCTCTTACCACGGTACGGTACGTATTTGAGTACAAGACCTTCGGTTCGGTTTGGTCGGTTTCGGTTCGGTATATGAGACATGATCATAGTACAGAAAAGAAAAGAAACGCATAGATTTTGACAAAATTAATCAATTTCTAGACATTTTGGAAAAGGTTAATAACATGACGGTACGCAAACCGAAAATACCGATTTTTTTGCATTGCATTACGGTATACCGAACCGAAGGTAAAATAACGCAGTTCTACTAAAACCGCGGTATACCGTTTCACCCCTACCGACTTGTTGAAAAATGATGTTTCCTTATTGCACAATGGGAGGATCGTGTAACAAAAGTATTTCATCTGTGTAACTATATACCCTTAAAATTTACAGTGTAAATTCTGTATGGGAGATGACAGCCCACATTGCATTCCGTCACCAAACCTGTCTGGTCCCGTATGCACTTTCCAGCACTTTTCGGTTAGGTGGTTGCACCATGTAGGAGATATTTGTGAGTTGTCTAATCCTGGGTCCCGTTCCTCAAAGCGATCGTAGCTACGACAGTCGTAAGTCTATGTTAAAAAATGGGAGTTAAGATCATCTTAGCGATCGCTTTGAGGAACGGGGCCCTGATTATTTACAGACTGGCGAATTATGGGTAAGAAATTCTACAGATTGTCACGCAAGGTGACATTCACACACTTACAACCTAATACACTATTCATGATATTTTTATTGCAGGTCCCCCACCTTCATATGGGCAGGCCACGGCTGGATTCGCCCCACCCATGTCAGGTTACGCCCCACCCATGCAAGGATATGCCCCACCCATGCAAGGATATGCCCCACCCATGCAAGGATACGCCCCACCTGTGTCAGGTTACGCCCAACCTCCACAACAGAGTGGAACGCAAGCCTCTACCAACACAGTGACGGTGAGTAAGTCAATGTCGTACGGTTGTGAAGAACAGTGTTCTTATGTCGAAATACACATATTGGCAGAGTAGCGCCTTCAATTATGATTCAATGGTAGAATTATGATCGAATTGTGATATTAATGTACTGCGCAAAGTAGCTTTTCAAAATGAGATCGACAGAGATGTAACACTCTGGAATTGATACCAAATATACTTTATCTTTGTACTAAGGGCCGTGCGGCCTGAATTACGAAATAAACTTCATTGATCGATTGACAATTTGTGGGCACCGGTAGCATTCTCATACTGAGTGAGTGAGTTTATTTTACGCCGCAATAGAATTGAAGTTTCACTTCCTGTTTACCTTATATTTTTTGTATTTTGGTTTACGCCGCACTCAGCAGTATTCCAGCTATATTGCGGCGGTCTGTAAATAATCGAGTCTGGACCAGACAATCCAGTGATCAACCGCATGAGCATCGATATGCGCAATTGGGAACGGATGACATGTGTCAACCAAGTCAACGAGCCTGACCACCCGATCTCGTCAGTCGCCCCTTACGACAAGCATGGGTTACTGAAGATCAATTCTAACCCGGATCTTCACGGGTCCATTCTCAGACTGCTGTAGATGTTTCTGATCTAATCATTTCACCGATCCTGGGACAAGAAAGAAAATGTTTTGCTAGTGACAACATAGTGCAATGAATATTTGTTACAATGGTATTGATGTATGGGTCAAGATTTATGTTTGTTTGTTTGAACATATTTTATTCAGTATTGACTTATTAACGCCATCTCGACAATTACATGGAAAAAATACATGTAAAGGATAATGAACAGAGGCAAGACATATTACACATTAATTGAAACGCTTACTAGGTACAATTTATTTATGGACGTGACTAAAAATATTTCCATTTATAGTTTGTGGAAGACTAAGGCTGCCGTACAGAATGGTGTTTATATCTAAGCTAACTTTTAGGATTTCAAAGCCTTGTATCAAATCAAACCGGCCGCTGAGATACTTTGGACATTTTAAAAAGAAATGATTGGCCTCTTCCACGGAGCACCACAAAGGCAAGCTTTACTGTCGGAGTGTGATACATCCACACGGAAAAGATCAGCATTTAAAGAACTACATGAACGTCTTAACTTAGTGTGTAGAATGTTAGTCTTCCTTTCACCAAATAGGAGATTTATGTCATAATTTAGTTACATTTTGTTGTTTCTGGAGTTGGATGATCACATGAATTGAATTCTTTATCAGCTGCTATTTTGTGCTTGACTGGAACTTCAATGAAAGAGACTGACTCTTGATATGTTTTCTTGAACTTTTCATTACACAAAAATAGGTCTCGCACCAACTTATGGATTGCTTCTTAAACCAACTTGTTCTGCCTACACTATTCTGGGTACATTTTCGGATTCACGCAAATTGTGACCAGTGTCCTTACGTTTATGTCTCCATCAATAGTGAAGGGATAATATGTCTATAGAAGGAATTAGCCAGGAGATTGTGAGTGTGTGTTCAATGAGTAAACTACAACATTCCTATGATGATATGATTAGTCTGGAATTACATAACTAAGACTGTGTAATATACCATGTGTAACGCACGTTAACAGGTTGTGACAGTTCAGCCCCCAAGAACAGAGCCGCCAGCCCATCCGCCCCCTGACCATATGAAGCTGGCCTACATCTCCTGCCTCTTCTGTCCCCTGGTGGCTCTTTGTGCCATCAGTGCCGCCCGTCGTGTAAGTGTGAGCATTATTGTGTTGACAGAGCTGTCAGAGTATCAGGATGAGCATTATTGTGTTGTCAGAGTGTATCAGGGTGGGCAGTATTGGGTTGTGAGAGCTGTCAGTATCAGGATGGGCATTATTGTGTTGTCAGAGTGTATCAGGGTGGGCATTATTGGGTTGACAGATCTGCCAGAGTGTCAGGATGGGCATTATTGTGTTGACTGAGCTGTCAGAGTGTATCAGGGTGGGCATTATTGTGTTGACAGAGCTGTCAGAGAGTATCAGTGTTGGCATTATTGTGTTGACTGATCTGCCAGAGTGTCAGGATGAACATTATTGTGTTGACAGATCTGCCAGAGTATCAGGGTGGACCTTATTGTGTTGACTGATCTGCCAGAGTATCAGGGTGGGCATTATTGTGTTGTCAGAGTATCAGTGTGGACATTATTGTGTTGACAGATCTGCCGGAGTATCAGGGTGGGCATTATTGTGTTGACTGATCTTTCAGAGTATCAGGGTGGGCATTATAGTGTTGACTTATCGGTCAGAGTATCAGGGTGGGCATTATTGTGTTGACTTATCGGTCAGAGTATCAGGGTGGGCATTATAGTGTTGACTTATCGGTCAGAGTATCAGGGTGGGCATTATTGTGTTGACTGATCGGTCAGAGTATCAGGATGAGCATTCTTGTGTTGACAGAGCTGTCAGAGTGTATCAGGATGGGTATTATTGTGTTGACAGAGCTGTCAGGGTGTCAGGGTGTATCATTATGTGGCCAGAACTAGCGGATAGTATCGGGCAGGTAACTTTTACTACACAAAATGACATTCTCGTATATTGAATGAATAAGTGAACATTGTTAATACTGGCTCGTTTATAACTAATAGTAATCGATCTTGATTTCAGTCTCGCGATTTTTATCGTGCTGGTGATTATGAGAAAGCCTTCCTTTATGGACGAAGTGCTCGAGTGAATGCAATCTCTGCTATATGCGCCGGCATATTCAGTGCTATTATCTTAATGGTGGTGTACAGGGAAATATAGACGTCCTATGAATAAAGTAGTAGTGCAGCATTATTCTTGGTGTATTTGTACGCTTGACTGGTTTTCACTCACTCACTCACTCACTCACTCACTCACTCACACAATCACTCATTCACTCTCCCGAAATAATGACACAACGCGAATCCCCATCCTAAGCGTTTCAACTTTATCTTCTAAGAGAGATTACAGGAATCTCTGTAGTGTATATTATAACGGCAATCCGCGTATATCATGTCAGTGCAAATTCTGTTGACAGATGGTCCTGTACATGCCAACATTCTCTAAGCTTTGTTTACCCTTGAGAGTTTCTAGGTCTTCAATCCTTCCAGTTCTGAATCCCGTGATGCTACAGGTAGCATCGTCTGAGGCCAGTGCCAGGAGGAAGTGCTATGGTGAATGTAGCTTGGGTTGTATACTCCCAAGGGTGATGAGAATGCAGTTATAATGCACATAGTTCCGTGGACCAGTGGAGTCACTAGCATACATAGAATTGACTCATCACTTTCTGTTTTCCTTCTTTTTTTCCTTTTAAACGCCTTATTTAGCAATATTCCAGCTATATGGCGGCGGTCTGTACATACTCGACTCTGCACCAGACAAACCGGTGATCAACATCATGAGCAACGATCCACGCAACTGGGATATGATGACATGTGTCAACCAAGTCAGCGATCCCGACCACCCAATCACGTTAGTCGCCTCTTACGACAAACATGTGTTACTGAAGACCATGTCTAACTCAGATCTTCACGGATAATAAACTAAACGAACAACGGAAAGAAATTGATATCTTCCATACATATGCTCTGCGAAAAAAGTGTCAGGATGACTGACTATCCTTGCATATATTGTACGGGCCACGCTGTATATGGCCTGATATACGCTTGTAACGAACAAGTTGTTTCCCGGCCACTTGGTGTATCTACTTCTCAAAATACGTATAACGAACAACGGCATCTTCCATACATATGCTCTGCTATTGTTTCCACGAAAAGAGTGTCAGGATGACTGACTATCCTGGCATATAATGCAGGGGCTACGCTGTATATGGCCTGATATACCCTTATCACGAACTAGTTTGTTTCCCGGCCACTTGATGTATATATACTTCTCAAAATACGTATAACGAACAACGGATATAACGAACTAAAATAAGTCGTCCTTTTGAGTTCGCTCTAACCGTAGTTTAATGTGTTCAGAATGCCCTGGCAAATATTCGGGTAGCTGACGTTCATCAACCAACAAATGAGAACATATTTTATGATTATTTATTGCACTTATATTTCAACATTTTAACAGTTTAAAGTGAAGACTGTTGTCATTATGAAAAATACACACGCATGTACGTGGTATGTAGAGCTTATGCTTGATTTAAAAGAAAGATTAATAGAAATTAGAGAACAAACGTTGTACTCTTCACTCACTCTAACAATAAACTCACCAGTACCCGTAGATACTGTTAGATGGAACGAATAGCTGCTATTGTTTAGAGCGAGGCACATTTGTTGAGAGTACTAAATATGTTTGTGGGAAAAAATTTCACTGTTTATGGCAAAGTCTTAAATGTGTTCACAGTTACCATGGAAACACCGTGGGTAATGCTAAAGGCCAAACTATCGAAAAATGTTCGCATTACATGCTAAAAACACCCAGGAGACCCATCACCATCTTCAAGTGCCCCAAGCTTTTCACGGCAGGAACATAGACCATAAAGTGAGTGAGTTTAGTTTTACGCCGCACACAGCAATATTCCAGCTAAATGGCGGCGGTCTGTAAATAATCGAGTCTGGACCACACAATCCAGTGATCAACAACTCTACAACATGAGCATCGATCTACGCAATTGGGATACGATGACATGCGTCAACCACCCGATCCCGTTAGACGCCTCTTACGACATGCATGGGTTACCGAAGATCAATTCTAACCCGGATCTTCACGGGTTGGATCATAAACAGGATTCACCTTGGTAATACCGATCAGGTGAAAACAGTATATATATGCTCATCTTTGATCGATTACGTTGTCAGAATGTAGACACAATGTGCTGAGTGATAACATATGCTCATTACAGTAAACATAATATTTCCAATGGGTGAATGACATATGGCATGAGTACAGAAGAAGGTGATTTTGTATAATTAATCTTTGATAAATGTTTTTAAATTACATAAATTTACATCTAATATCCCATGTTCTAAAATAGTGAGTGAGTGAGTTGGGTTTAACGCCGCTTTTAGCAATATTCCAGCAATATCACGGCGGGGGACATCAGAAATGGGCTTCACACAATGTACCCATGTGGGGAATCGAACCCGGTCCTTCGGAGTGACGAGCGAACGCTTTAACCACTGGGCTACCCCACCGCCTCTGTTCTAAAATAAATGACAGTGATCTTGAATATCTTCTCATAATCATACGCCACCCTGGATTAAATTTCATAAATATTTAGCACCGTTCAATAATTTGCCCTTCGGTAAGCTAGACTTTACACAGCAGTCAACCCCGGGTCAAGTGTCATCACATTCCAATCATATATAAAAGTAACAAAACTGATCCTGACTCACAGGAAATGTCTACCAAAACCAGAGTTGTTTTGCAGTTACCGTATCATTTAAATATTTACTAAAATCTAAACTTTCCTCAAGATATTTTCTCACATTCAATTTTTTCCAAGACTTGTTCAGACCAACTGACATTGACACTGACAACTCCAATGTCGCCCTAACAGATTGGTTAGGAAGTCTCTAATACCTGTGATAGTCGTATTATTGCTTGCGACAAAACGTCAAAGAAACAATGCAGGTGATAAATAACACTCGGGTTGAGGGTGTTACGTCTGATTTAAAGATTCACATTTAATTCTTATTTAACTGTAATAACCAAATAGAAAGACAGTTAGCATCGAAAGTACTATGGCGCTAAAATTCAACACCATTTTTGTTGTCTCATTTTCTTCCAAACTTGTAAATCTCTTCTGTATGGCGGCTCGTTCACTGGGCGACAGGATCCGGTTCCTCCTCTGGGTCATTCCGCACAACCACATAGCGATGGTTTTACAAATGGTTTTACCATTTCCTGTGGGGTATACACAAAAATGGAACAAAATGCGAAATTTCAATTTGAGTGAGTGAGTGAATTTAGTTTTACGTCGCTTTCAGCAATATTCCGGCAATATGAGGGCCGGGGACACCAGAAATGGCCATCATACAATATACCGTTGTGGACCCGGGTTAAATATTAATATAAAGAAGGTATCGACTTATCCGGTCAAATGAGATTTTCATCTCACTGAGTAACCTGACAAAATGGCGTGAAACGGTCACAAAGGTGACGCCGCTGCAATACCACGGCGGGGGACCCCAGAAATGGGCTTCACACATTGTACCCATGTGGGGAATCAAACCCGGGTATTTGGCATGACGAGCGGGCGCTTTAACCACGAGGCTACCCCCACTGAATGTTTTATTTCATTTCATTTGAAAGTTATAGCAGTGTAATATTAGCATGAAGACTTAAAACAAATTTGACGTTTCATGGATAGGAAAGTTTTTTGATAATAACTCATAACTTTTCGTAAAATAAATATGCGAAAAAAGGTTCTTCGGAAGTATCGTAAAAGTAAATGGTAAAAAAGTAATTATTCACCACAGTAAACCGTGACAGAAGGAAAATATCCCTTGAAAACAACTTGTCCCTCAATTTATATTTTAGAACTGTCAAAATAGAAAGCATGGCACCACATTACTCAACATAAGAATTGTTCAGATTGTGTAGAAAAGGGTAACATGCAGTATGTTAGGATGAGAAAGCCACAATAACTCGGTGCGCCTAGTGGCTGCAAGAGTTGTATACTCCCCAGGGGAGTTGAGATTGATAATGCGATGTGCCGTTGAGATTGACATCCAATGATCGAGGGAAAAAAATACCAGCGCCTTGAGCATGCACTAGTGCGTGGATATGTGCGCTATATAAATATCCTATAATAATAATAATAATATGTTGAGATTTGAAACATGAAGCAATGGCGAAACTTACGGCGCTCCAACTGAGAGTCTTCCTCCTCCATGGCTGCTGTCATCCTTTCGTCAGCATTGTCCTTTCCTTCCTCGGCCTTCTCAAAGTCGGGGTCGTCAGCATCTTCGTCATTGTCTTCGTCAACATCACCCTTTTCTAGCTCCGAGTCAGGATCAACATTATTACGCGTCCACCACGTGGTGCGCCCAATCTGTATGCAGAATAAACAAGACATATTTCCAATCTTCTCATTAACGAGATTGGCTGTGGTGTATCTGAAACATATACATAGCTTGGGTTCTTTTAAGTATGTGACTGTGTTCTTTCAATTTCTCAAACCACGAAACTATGAGAGGACTTGAAGTTGAGGACATCTGGTGTCATTCCTTTGTGCAATACAAGACTGACTGACTGACTGAGTTTGGTTTTACGCCGCTTTTAGCAATATTCCAGCAACATCACGGCGGGCAATACAAGAGCGGTTGTAGCATGTTTGGGAAAACCATGTTGCCTGTCATCTTTACGGATATTGGGGATTCGTTCCCATTTTAGTTGGCTGGTTGTGATCAACAGCATGAGCATCGTTCTACGCAATTGGGATACGATGAGATGTGTCAGCCAAGTCAGCGAGCCTGACTACCGCTTAGGACAAGCTTGGGTTACTTAATAAGAATTCTTACCCGGATTTGCACGGGTCTTTCATTTTAGTGTCAATTTGGTAGAGATGAGCATATGTATATATCCACTGGTACGGCAGTAACAATAGATCTCTGATAAGATAAAGGTTTCTCGACAGTCTGGCTTCAGACGCAGTGATACCGTCAGATTCGGAGTGATCACGAATGATTCGTTGAATATTAGTATGGTATGGATATACCTGACATATATCATGCACCAAATCAGTATATATATCACTGTGGGATTGCTATTGATTGGTCCCTGTAACTGTTTGAGTGGCATTTTAGAAGTTACTTCCCTTAGTGGTTCCAGAGTCCGTTCCAGTCACAATCGCTTGTTCACCGTCTACAACCAGCGTTCGTGGTTGTCATGTAAGTGGTTGGGATCTACGTCCTACACTACTTCCCTCCCTTTACACCAAACAGAATTTGTTTCTGATGATTTTCCTCGGTATTCCTTCGCACGTTCTATATTTGCGATAACCGAAATACCTTTTGAAGCAACCAGACAATCCTGAAGCGGTCTTTTTTCCGCACATTTGCATTTATTCAGTATATTTGCATTTATTCTGTAAATTTGCGTTTCCTCGTGTACTGGTTTCATACATGTAGATATTTCATCAATATGCATCACTTCCTAAATGGAACCGCCTCCGTGGTGTAGTGGTTATAGCATCGGGATCGATCCCCGGCCGCGTCATACCAAAAGGCGTTAAAATATGGTACTTGTTGATCCCTGCCTGGCGCTCGGCATTAATGGGTATAACAAAGACTGGTCGGCTCGGAGTCAGTATAATGTGTCGGGTGGGGTATTCATGTTTAACTGCGGCATGGAATCTCAGTGATTTAGCACTATAAAACCAGCTTAAGTCTAGTACAAGCAGCCACACATACACACGCATGCACGTCGTCATATGAGCGAAATATTCTTAAGTACGACGTTAAACCTCTATTCTCTCATCGTCACTTCCTAAATGGAGATGCTGAAAGTCTATCGCATCTCTATGGTCCCCCAACCCTACCTGAGCTTCTGATCTGGGCTCCGTGCACAGACTGACCAGAACGATGACTACAGAGGTGACCACAGCGGAGATCATGGCGAAGTAGAGGAAATGTACATGTTTCAACACTCCAGGTCGAGTGTCTTCCTCTCCGCTGCCACAGTACGGGGCTGGGTACGTGAAGTCCACCGCCATACGGATTATCCCGACAACCAGCCCAGCGATCAGACCCCAGAAGGCGCCCTATATTGAAACGTGACCACTTAATGTTTTGGTATGTAAGGACAACAATGCTTTTCTGTGTTCCATGTAGCCACAGTGATCTTAACGTGTGTCGGTCGGTCTGTTTACAATAAAAAAAAACTCATTAAAATCAAGATTTAAGTTTGAGTCGACGGATGTAGAAAAGTATTGTTGTTGTTTTTTCATATCATCCCGGTCGGCGGCCAATTTACAGTCGGTCGAATGATGAAAAAAACAGTTAGTGAGTGAGTTTAGTTTTACTCAGCAATATTCCAGCTATATGGCGGCGGTCTGTAAATAATAGAGTCTTGACCAGACAATCCAGTGATCAACAGCATGAGCATCGATCTACGCAATTGGGCACCGATGACATGTGGCAACCAAGTCAGCGAGCCTGACCACCCGATCCCTTAGTCGCCTCTTACGACAAGCATGGGTTACTGAAGATCAATATTCTATCCCGGATCTTCACGGGTCTGAAAAAGCCGTATAAAAATAAAAATATAACGTTGCTCTATTGAAGATCTGTAATGTAAAACCATTTTGAAGCGTGTCAGTAAGAAACATGAAAAAAAATCCACATGATACCACCATGTTCTACGACATTGGAGCTGTTTCGGAATTACAAGACACAAATACAGAAAGGATTTTCTGGGCTTTTGCTGAATTGGGAAAAGGGACGGTTGGGGATCCTCCAAGATATACTGAACCTGTTCAGTAGTCCGTTTCCATAGTAGAGCAAACATGAACAATGTCTGCCAAGGAGGAGCAGTGTAGGCCGTTACTGACTGCAGGTACCCCCACAGTTGCCCTCCTTGGGCTTGCTGCAAGATAGGTAACCACAGAATGCCTATTGCTGTACAGACGAGTACTGCTACTCGTCCGACTATCATGAGTTCGTTTTCCGATGGCTTCCTTCTGATCCGAGGCCAGATGTCCATGGTGAACATGCTACTGGCACTGTTGAAGATGGAGGTCAGGGAGCTCATGAGGGCAGCCAGCAGAGCAGCTAACATCAGACCTCGAAGACCTTCAACCAATAAATTGAATTACATCTGTATGTGCATACATATCAATATAAAAGAAAAAAGAACAAGTCAGAAGAATCTGTTAAAGTAAATGGTGGAAGATATAAACTATATTTCTTTCTCTTTCACTTTTTTAAAATTAATTTGAAAACCTGAATATCTACAATAAGTAATGAAATTCTTATGTAATGACTTTTTAAGTCATTTCAGACATGACATGCAAACCTTTGTGTGTTATACTCTATTTCATCATGATATACTCTTTTAAAAAAGTAGGGAAACCTTAACTGTCAATTTGGAGAGGAAGTAGAAGCGTTAACAAACTTTTCAAAAACAGACATCTTATGAACGCACCACCATTTCTCTTTATCACCATCCCTACACACTACGGATGGGATTCACGTTCAAAAGGCAGTAGCCCCATACACGTGCATGGGGTGTCACTCTTGACTTGGACGTTTTCAAGAAAGTCGATAAATCACTGTAGACCATTAATTTTGACAATCATCATGCATCACACAGTTGTTAGTGTTTGTTTCTAGCCGATCTTTTGGTTTGAAAAGGAAAACAGCTATTGTCATAGGGAAGTGCAAGTGGTGATGCACTCTCAAAACATTAATTATTATCATATCAACATTGATTGACTCCGACTTATCTCCCAATTTTTTCAATCGTAAATTAGTAATGAAGATCCCCTACTTTTTTAAGAATAATATGAGAAATAAATAAATAAGAATAAATATGAGAAGTTCTTAACGGCCTAATGATTTCCGACATACCTTCCGGTAAAAGCCTCAACACCAAGATCGGGTAGGCGATATTCGTACACCCAGCTTTATTCTGACACACTTCATAGCATCGCTCAGGCGTAGAACATGCTATCTCGTCTAAAAGAAGAAAATAGTAATTATTGTACATTTAATGCATGAAAGGAACTGCAACATCTTCGAATTAACTATAGCATCAGGTATTCCTTTCCCAAAGTACCGACCTTTACAACTGGTGCAGGGGCCCCGTTCCTAAAAGCGATCGTAGCGCTACGACAGTCGTAAGTCTATGTTAAAGTATGGGAGTTACGATCATCTTAGCGCTACGATCGCTTTGAGGAACGGGGGCCCAGGTGAGTAACATTATGATTGACTTTACTTTCATTTTGTTTTAAGTTTGTTTAAAACTGACTTTGTTAATTTCATGCCTTGATGTTATACGCACATCCAGATTTGAGAGCCGTTGGTCATGTCAGAATCCGAGTGTGGTTCCATCATGCAAGTACGTGTTTTAATAGCATTTCCTATTTCAACGGTTGCTGTCATATCAAGTTTTTCTCACCAGAGAAGCTTACCGGAGTATCATTTACTATCATATCTATTAATGATGAATTATGAAACACGGAGGCTTGCCGAGAAGCTGTACACCTTAGTGGTGTTGCTAGATTTTAAATTTAAAGACACAAAGGTGAGATTTTGTATAGCAGTAAAAATAATTCTTCCAGATATGTCAGATTGTTAAATACAGCTAACCAATGACAAAGGGATTTGTGATGACATCTGATTGTGCCATGACTAATGGTAACACGTGCGCCAATGACGTCACGAATCGTCTACAAACGTTTGAGATGCTATTTCACTGAAGCAATATCTCAACCAAGCAATGCCTCAAGTTTTGGAGACCCGTGAAGGTCCAGGCCCCAATTTCTCGAAACAAACTTAAGTTTTTACTCAAATCTCAAACTGAGTTCACAATTTGGAACAGCTGAATTTTTAACTCTACTGCATTTTTAAAATATAAAAGCCCAAACAACTTAAGTAATCTATCCACCAAACTCAAATTATCTTCTATAGTTCGAGTTTAATACCGATTTCAGTTCATTCTGTGAAATGTATTTCCTGTGTTTTCTCAAATTTGAGTAAAAACTCGAACTTAAGTCAAAACTCAGACCGATGCTCATGCTGTTGATCACTGGATTGTCTGGTCCATATTCGATAATTTACAGACCGCCGCCATATAGCTGGAATATTGCTGAGTGTGGCGTAAAACTAAACTCACTCACTCACTCACTCAAGTTTTGGATCACAGACTGTAACAATTGATAAATGTACCTGGGTAGAGGATCCGGCTGATCATCCCAGGAATAATCCACAGGAAGAAGGGTAATATCTTCAATGCCCCGGCAAACAGAGATCCACCCTTAGCATGACTGATGTTCTTAGCCGAGAGAGTCCGCTGGACCATCAACTGAAAGAACAGATTCAACTTTAGGAGTAATGGGCGGAAGTGTCAGTTCCATCGGTAGCGCAGGAATACGTACCCTTTTCGCGTGCTGTCATCACTGGCTTTGAGTGATTTATTCAAAGAATTTTTATCACCATTTTGCCGTTTATCGCTTAATAGCATCGAAACTGATTATTCTCTCGTGATCATATTTTATAATAATAATAATAATAAATGGATATTTCTTATGCGCCATAGTCCATCCAGAGCATTCTCAAAGCGCTACATATAAAAAGAGTCACTAGAGTTCAAGAGGAAGATATGACAATTCGTCAAATGACCATGAGAATATTTCGCAGTCATAGGTTGTAGACTTTTTTGAAGAGGAAGGTTTTGAGTCCCGATTTAAATGCTTCTAAGGATGAAGCATTTTTTATGGGAGTAGGAAGACTGTTCCATAGGGTTGGTGCCGCAAATTTGAATGACCTATGGCCAAAGTGTTTGAGACGAACTTGGGGAACTGAGAGAAGATGTTGATTCTGGGCGCGGCATTGTTAATGCCTCGGGTTATCGGAAATTTAACGTTTCTCTAACGAAATGAATTATTTGTCTTCTCTATCCTTCTCACAAAAAGCTTAAAAGCAAAGGTGATTCTATTTTTACGCATTTTGTCCAATCTTTCGACAAAATCAAGCTTGAATTAGCATTCCCCTCGAACACGATTATATAACAGGAATCAAGCATATTCTAGCCGTAATTGTTCGGTTTGGTTTGCCACCACAGCATCAGGAAATAACATATAAGGTCAAATACAACCAAACAGGCCCACAGAGGTTGAGCTGTCCCATAATGAATCCAATACTTGGGCACTACCATGCTGAAACCTTCACAAGCCAATAACAGATATTTTATTTAATCGATGTATGACACAATTAGGGAACTATTCGATGAAATGCCGTAGAAGTTAATGAAATTTGATTTTTCTTCAACGAATGTGGCCTTGACATACCAAGGATGATCATAACCATGGACAATGACAGTATAATGTAACATGGGGTATTCTTGACTGAAGTGGAGTGCTTCTGTGTATCTACCTGATCAGTGCACCACACCCATGCCGCTATGATAGTCAGGCCAAAGACTGCCCCTGGCCATGGAATGTCCCCATCAACAGGATCCCTCCAGATGTGCAAAGAATCCTTAGGGGGAAGACCACAGGTGTTGTGCGTGAAGTTAGTCTTAGTGACGTTGGAGACAGCAGTCAGAAAACCTTCTTCTAAACCCTCGAAGCCGTTGACTTGTAGGAAGCCTGGACAAAATCAAATATACAGTGGTAGATGTGCAAGGAGATTACTATTGACAGTGAAATACATAAAACACCGCCATTTGATGAAGGTGTAACAAATTAGTTGGTTGGATGGTTTGTTGTTTAACGAAGCATTCAGCAAAATTCCAGCTCTATGGCGGCGGTATGTACATAATCGAGTCTGGGCCAGACAACTGGGATAGAATGACATTTGTCAACCACGTCAGCGAGCCTTGCTAGTCGCCGTTAGTCGCCTCTTACGACAAACAAGGGTTGCCGAAGACCAATTCTGACGGATCTACAAATTAGTAATCTGTATTTTGATCAAGAAAATCAGTACATTTAGAAGTTCATTCGAAACTAAGGTCGTACCCCAGAGCTTTCAAATGATACACCTTTTTCGCGCTGGCACATTAAGGACATAAAGTAATATAGAAACAAGCACGTTCCTCCTGACGCTATATGAACCAGATGACTTGATAGAATTGTCTAGTACATGTCAATACAGACTGTTGAGTGGCGTGAGCGCCTTATGGCGATACATTTCATGTAATCGTTTGCAAATATTCATAAGTATATCAATACATATGGATGCATGAATATACACATTGAATAATAATGTATAGTTAGTGATGAACAAACTTCTTGAGCTGCAATTTAGACTTGGTGTATAAACCTGAGGGTACACAAATACATAGCATAATGATGTAAGCTATACAAAGTCGCACGGTAGGGATTAAACTTAGGTCTCTCTAGTCTTAAATATCTTTGTTATAAAAATGGCTAAACACAAGGTAAGTTTTTCATTTTTGTTGGCTAGTAGTCCCACAACTTATAGAAAGATGGATGCTTTGTATAATATTCTGGTTGATAGTTTTGTCTGCTCCTCAAAGTTCTGAGCTTTACTACGAAGGACGTCTTACGGTATTTAGGGCAATACGTTCCATGTGTAAAAGCTGGCTTTGAAGCGGATGATGAAAATGAAACCTGTACAGTGAACTGTCGTCTTGTAGTGAGAGGGGTAACTCCATTAGTCATCCTAGCGACAAAGGTGTCAACTGTTGGAGATGATGTCATAACCTTTTCGTTCGTTAACAATTTAAAATTATGATAATCAAAGATTCACCAAACGTGGCAGGCAAACAGGCAGTACAAAGGTTTCGGCAAGCTGGATGCAGAGGTTACCGACTCACAGAAACGTTCAAAATTCATATTACCTCTTATGAGAATCTACGTCGTTTCGAAGCAGTATCAGCTGATTTTGTCGAGCAAATTGCAGCTATGGATAAGTCTTGTGGTCAATACTATCAATCTGATCTTGCCATACCTTTAGTAGAGAACTGTGGCTTTGATCTAATTGAACTCATCCACATTAACCAGATTTGGTTCCTCTTTCCGAACGTGAATAAAGAACTGGCTAGCACTGACTGACAAGCATTATACAGATTCTGCTGTGAATGATTGCCAGTCAGTGCCAATAACGTTGGATCCATACAGTCCAGCAACGTAGGAAGAAGTATTTGGACCTTGGAGGAGATTAATTTGAAATATAATGAGCAACGAACTTCATCAACACTGTCCTCCAGTTCAAAACGTCCCAGTCACGCCTGGCATATATACCCCATGACATCTATACGCTGACACACATTTCATAACGAGTGTGAAATGCTAAATGAAATATTTTCAAACTAGGACATGACACTTACGCAATTCATTCATATGCAGCTAACAGGCCAGCTGGTATATGTGCTCTGAATCACATACAACATAGGTGCGTATAAATGTATATGTGTTATATAAAAATATTAATACATACATACATACATCTCTCTCTCTCTCTCTCTCTCTCTCTCTCTCTCTCTCTCTCTCTCTCACTCTATATATATATATATATATATATATATATATATAATATTTATATAATATTTACATATAATACATATATACGCACCTTGGTTGTGTGGATATAATAAACACGAGGGGAGGCTCTTACATTCGTTTTCCGATATGATGTATAGCTTACCTTTGACAGTTAGAACAGAAGCACCTATCAGGATTACGAGTGTTTGTATGGTGTCGGTGTACATCACTGCGACTAGGCCGCCTGCAATGAGATTTGTAGAGATGGATTATTTAATGAGCCAAAGAGACGGGGTGAGGACAAATAGTGAATACAACAGAGTAAATATGAACAGAATTTGTTTTCAAATATGATATACAATTCAAACATAAAATAGGAACTGCTTATTACTTGGTCCTTATGTTAGATTGTCCTACTTGTGACAGCAGAAATAATAAGGATGTTTGCTCAGATGACATCACTTCGATTCTGGCGATATACGGAAGCATATAGAAGTTTAACACCAGAAGGCTTGGCGAGGATTTGTACACTATTAACGACTTGTTTTGATACATTATATTTAAAAGAGTTTGGGGTAAACTTCAATCATTCTTCCCATGTTTGTAGTTTGTAAACAGTAGCAGACAGTGGACTATTTACACCTGTACCTGTGACTGTTTATTACAGAGGGCTTATTGGAGTATTTACAATGTTGACTGTATATAACCAAGGGCTAACGTATGGACTATTTACAATGTACCTATGACTGTATATAACAAAGGGCTGACGTATGGACTATTTATAATGTACCTATGACTGTTTATAATAAAGGGCTGACGTATGGACTATTTACAATGTACCTATGACTGTATATAGCAAAGGGCTGACGTATGGACTATTTACAATGTACCTGTGACTGTATATAACAAAGGGCTGACGTATGGACTATTTACAATGTACCTATGACTGTATATAACCAAGGGCTGACGTATGGACTATTTACAACGTACATGTGACTATATAACGAAGGGCTGATGTATGGACTATTTACAATGTACCTATGACTGTATATAACGAAGGGCTGAAGTATGGACTATTTACAATGTTGCCTGTATCTAAGAAAGGGCTGTCGTATGGACTATTTAAATGTACCTATGACTGTATATAACAAAGGGCTGACGTATGGACTATTTACAATGTACCTATGACTGTATATAACAAAGGGCTGACGTATGGACTATTTACAATGTACCTATGACTGTATATAACAAAGGGCTGAAGTATGGACTATTTACAATGTTGACTGTATCTAACAAAGGGCTGACGTATGGACTATTGAAATGTACCTATGACTGTATATAACAAAGGGCTGACGTATGGACTATTTACAATTTACCTATGACTGTATATAACAAAGGGCTGACGTATGGACTATTTACAATGTACCTATGACTGTATATAACAAAGGGCTGACGTATGGACTATTTACAATGTACCTATGACTGTATATAACAAAGGGCTGAAGTATGGACTATTTACAATGTTGACTGTATCTAACAAAGGGCTGACGTATGGACTATTTACAATGTACCTATGACTGTATATAGGGCTGTCACGACCAGTATGCTGATGATACACATGTAGAGATTCCAGCCCAGAAGTAGCTGCATGAATAGAGCCCCGCAGTAGATTTCAATCTGAAATAGTGATTAAAAATTAATGATAAATATGATGAAGTTTGGTGCACACAAATAGCATGTTTATGTCTTCAAGTTAACGGACAAAGACGATATTTTGATAGTTACCACCACATTTGAAAATGAGAATACCATCTACAAATGAGACGAACATACATTTCACAGTCAATCAAAGCGCAACCAAGGCCGAAGTAAGACAATGTTAAACCAGTTACACACCGATATCTTCGTCAAGACATACAGGAACAACCCCAAGATGGAGAGACAGATTCTCAGACGAGCTCCCCCGAATCGTTTCATCAGATACTCTGGCATCGTGAAGGCCTACAGAAGATCAAAAAGATGCTATCGCTAAAACGACTTACCTGTTTGCACGGACAAATATGTTCTGTGTGGATACGATTTACACAAATTCATTTTTATCGATTGATATGTTATATTCTCTAAAAATATATATTTATTATCTTTTATTCTAGGTTTTGTGAAAGGTTGACGTGTCGTAAAATGAATTTGGGAATTATACTAAGGGCATAAAGGACAAGGTATGATAAGGGGGGTTTTTGGCCCACAAACAGAATTGGCTGAACACATGTTATTTGTTTAGGGACAAGATGGCTTTGCATAAAAAAGCTATTTTTTAAATGATCTGAGGCCATATTTTCAATGCAGAGGGGCCAAAAATGGGTTTTATCAGTTCCCATGAAAAAATAACAAGAAATCTGAAATATCAGTGTGCCATAATGACTTATATACAACTATCAGTTTATTTACATACAAACAGTATCAGTTTTGCAACAGGTATTCATGATGAAGAAACATGTCAACATCAATCACAAGGTTTTAACTTCAAGGGGCCCAATTAGGGTTGCAATACATTGTGGACAGTAATTCAATTACTTGCCAATTGATTACAAAAACTCATTATTCACAACTTTCTTTGCAAACATAAACTATAGGTCAATTTTACAACATGTACTTATGATAACCAATCATGTCCCACGAAAAATCACAGGGGGCCCATTTTAGGTCTAATTACATTTTGGGCACAGCTTGATTTGAACAAGTAAGTGTTAAAAGTCAGTATTCACAACCGGTTTTAGCAAATATACAGTAAACATCTCATTCACAACATGTTATTACAATAACCAACCATGCTTCCCTGAATATCACAGGTCTTGACCTCAAAGGGGGCCATTTTGGGTGAAATTACATTCTTGGCACAGCTTGATTTTAACACCATGTAAGTGTTAAAAGTCAGTATTTACAACATTCTTGCAAATATATACAGTAAACATCTCATTCACAACATGTTATTACAATAACCAACCATACTTCCCTGAATATCACAGGTCTTGACCTCAAAGGGGGCCATTTTGGGTGAAATTACATTCTTGGCACAGCTTGATTTAGACACCAAGTAAGTGTTAAAAGTCAGTATTCAAAAATCTTCAAAAAGTCATTATTCACAACTCATTCACTGCAAAGATATATAAAACATCCACTTTCACTCTTCATCCACATGGTCATCAATCTCTGAATCAGTTTCTGAATCACTGTCAAGAACTGCAGCATTCAACCGTGTATCACTAGAGTTGCTGGAAACAGGCATATTGTTTTGGTGTCTGCCATACCCAGATCTTCTCTCAACTGAAAAACAGATGACTTTATATCAAAAGAAAATACTGTTTTAAAACTTTGATATTAAAAATCTATTCAAGGGTAACATTACTTATTTATTTTCAAATGTCAGTAGCCTGGCCTTGAAGGCTTATGCAGATTCAATCACCACTGAGACATCAGTATTTCTGAAATTCTGTCACATTAAATTAGAAAATTGAAGAAAAAAATATTGGTTATTTTTTAGCACTCATATTATGCTTACCTTCCACCTCAAGTTTTAAGTTGTCATCTTCATGAAATGACACTCCTGAAATCAGTCCAAGCAAATTTATCTTATCTGAAAACAAATATTTGAAATCATAAAAGAATTATCATTATGTTCAAGAAATTGGTGCTTTCTAATTTTTCTAATGCTAAACATGTCAATAGTATAGTTATATAGGGAAGGGAATTGACCTCCAAAAGCATAATCAATTGTTGAGGCCACTTTTTGATCAATTATAGATATAAGATAAAAACAACTGTTAGAGCACATGAAAACAAAGGTAATCAGTCCTCAGTTTTAATATGACAATTGAAACCAATAGTCATTGATTCTGTAAACATATTTTTAAGAAGAAAGAGTGAACGCTTTAATTGATTATGTGATTTGGTTATCGGTAATTGACTGGCAGCCCACAAAATATCCATAAACTAATTATTTGTTTGATCAGTGCACCACTAATTAACAGCTCTGGACAGTTTGTAAATATTTACTTAAAGAAATTACCATACTAACATTTTGAAACAATGCTTACCTTCTACAGGTTCTTTATTGTGTGGGAACAAAGTGGAAAAGTCAGTGTCTTCAGGCTTAAACAAGATTTACATGATGTTAATTCAAGTTTGTTTGAACAGTGTAACTTACATTATCAAACTTAAGAAAAAATTGTTTAAAAATTTGTATTTCATGTGCACAAGTTTTGTCAGCCAATTTACAATGTTTAACTTAACTTTTGAAGAAAAAAAAAGAAAAAAAGAAAAAAAACATTAGGATTTGAACCTGAATGTCTGATAACAGAAAAAAAAACTGACAGGCCATCGCTGTAACCACTAGGCTACAGATTCTACTGTTACTATTTGCCACTTTAAGCTTATATATTACACTTTGCAACAATGTGTCACTTGACGTCTGCTTGCTTTTCATAATCTGCTAGACCTTGATACAATGTTCTTATTCTAACAATATTAAATGTAGCCTGATATAGCCTAGAAAACATCAAGGTACATTATTTTTGTTAAAATGTGTATGTTTATACACAGTTACATCCAGTGGAATGCCAGTGTTATTTGACAGTGACAGGTGACACAGAGGGGTTTGCTAAACAGATGATAGAACAAATATGATAAAATTCTAGCATAATTACAAAGATCCTCACCTTTAGAATGCTGCCTGATCATATTTTGAAAAATCTTCTGATGTCTTCTTATTTTTCCAGCAGTGATCAACAGGGTCTCCCAAAAACTACCCTTGTTTACCTCAAAGTAATCAGCCTTGAGAGTCCCTTACGATATTGAAATTTGTTAAGAAACATGTTTGATAAGTTCATTTTAGTGCTCTAAAACATTCAAAATAGTAATGAATCATGGTATAGTTGTGTAAATGTGACGGATAGTTTTCAGAGATATTACTTTACGCCAATGTTTATTTTTGAGATGTTGTATGGGGCAATTTCATACACCAGAAAAAATGTACTTTTTTAAACATTTTGATATGAGCAAAAGCGTGACCCACCACAATTTTTTAGGAGTGCATTCTAATTTACTCTCTTCATGTGTGGTGAAAAAATTGGGATGGGTCAAGCTTTTGCTCACACTTTTTTATCACTCTGAAAATATGAAAATGCAGGTTTTTCGAAGATATTGTAAAATAGGTTAACTTTGAGGTCTTCAAGGAGGAAAAAAACAGCACTAAAACGTACAAAAAAACCATATGGAGGTAATTTCAACAACTTATTTAGCATTTTTTATGCTAAAATTATCATGTTGTAGAACTTTGAATATCATGAAATTTTGTGGGCCCAAAAGGGCCTTTATCATACCTTGTCCTTTACGGTACATTTGGGAGACAGGTTGGTCATGGCTTACCCCACTGGCGACAAAAACAGGAACGAAAAACCATCCAAGACTAATTAGCAGGAATGATGCCTAAAAGACAATGAATTAATTACTAGTTAGTACCATGAAAAGGACATAACTTGGATAAAAATAGAAATAACAGGATCTATTCTTCGGTGGGACTTTTCAACTTTTAAAACAGATTTCTCAAACGAAGGTATTAACCAATATGAAAGAGAAACGTTAACATAATAATACTGGTGTTTCTTTCCAGTTTACGACGGACGAAAAAGAACGCGAAATATTCTCGAACACACTTTTTTGTTATATGTTACAAGGCTTTACTTGATAAGGAATAAGGAATGCTAAATTTGACAATTTAAAATAGAAATTATCCAAAAGAACACAACTGCATTTGAATTATTGAACTTACTACCCACTCGTAGACCACAACCGAGTACCCGGATGCAGCCCCGGCACCAGCTAAGCCAATGAACATCGGAGCTCCAACATTGCTTGCGAACAAAGAGGCCCCTATCTGTATGGTAAAAGAAAGCAAAGATTGCTGGTTTCAATACTTCTGTATTGGCAAACTCTTTTCACAAACCGATCACATGTTAGCTATTTTGTCTGCCTACAAACAGTATCTTTTTACTGATCACAGCTAAGCCAATGAACATCGGAGCTCCAACATTGCCTGCGAACAAAGATGCCCCTATCTGTATGGTAAAAGAAAGCAAAGATTGCTGGTTCCAATACATGTGTATTGGCAAACTCTTTTCACAAACCGATCACATGTTTGCTATTTTGTCTGCCTACAAACAGTATCTTTTCACTGATCACTACAGAGAATATTGCTTTACGTCACCGTCAGCTGAATACTAGCAAGACCAATGATGTAACGGTATACTCTGCAAAAAGAAAAGAAAAGAAACGGAAAAGTGTTTTTCAGATGTATACTTTATGTATAATATAAATTAACAACAGATCATAATAAATGGCTCAAATATGGCACAAGTCATTGTCAGTGACCTTGGTTCATCACGGCAAACGTGGAACAATTGAATGTCATGGTGAAGGTCATCTGTTCTCAATATGTTGTATGGCCTCTATGAGAGTCCAGAACTGTGGCCGTGGAATGCCAATACACTCTTCTCATGTTTGTGCCAACTGTTGGAGATTCTGTGGTTGTTGCTGACGTGGTCGTAGACGTTGATCAAGAGCCTCCATAAATGGAGTTCAGATCTGCAGTCCTTGAGGACCATAGCACCATCTGGATGTTGAGCTCCTCAAAAAGGCTTGCCGTCTTGTTGAAAAATGACGTTTGCATGTTGCATAATATGAGGATCGTGTAACAAAAGTATTTCATCTGTGTAACGTTATTCCGTTAAATTGCCGTAATTCACAGTACAAGGTCTGTTCTGTCGGTATGATAGAAGACAGGCCACATTACACACCAGCCACCAAACCTGTCCACTTCCTGTATGCACTTTCGAGCATAACGTTCCCCACGACGTCTGTAAACACATTTCCCGTCAGTACAGAGAAGCCAAAAACGTTGACAAACACGTTTCCGTCGCTGCTGTGGCCATCACTGACGTCGTATCAGTCTCATGCTGCCCATTCAGAACGAAGCCTCAAGGTGATCATATCGGGAACACCTGTGAGGCGTAGACTGTTCCTCGCTGTCTTGGCTGAAATCCTGAGCAATCCAGGTATTGGTGCAGCTGTAGGGGTGGCCGCGGTGATTCCATCGCGCAATACACCTGTTCCGCGCTGGAGTTGTGACAAGTGATCGACCTGATCTGGGTAAGTCACCTGTTGACCCTTTCTACTGAAAACGGTTGTGAAGACTTGTGATGTTGCTGGGCGATGCGTGGAAAAAACTGGCTCCGGGCGAATCAGAGTCGCCTGTCTGCAGTCATCGGTGGCGTTATCGCGTTGAGCTCCAGTCAGTTCTGGCATGTTTTCATTTTTCACAGACTGTACAATTATGATGACATACATAGCCCAACAATTCATGTTCCACGTTCCTTTTATGTTGCTGTTTTGGGCCCCGTGCTCCCTCGTGGTTGCGTCTTAGTGTTTCAGCAACTGTTTCGGTATATTTTTTATTGCACTTGATCATACCCGCACAAATGACTCCCGATACATGTAGACATGAAAAAAGTTTAATGGTGTTCATTCTTTATGAATATCAGCAAACGTCCCTCAGATATTTTCCATTTATTCTACTTTTGCGGTTCTTTATTTATTTGCTGAGTATATATCAGAGCCAGGTAATCTATTGTATGAGTCACAACACACAATGTAACCAGACCATGAGTGCGCTATCAAGACAAGCATGGCATTGTGGGCAACTACTCTGACACAGAATTATCACGGGGCTCAAAATTCTGTACCATTCTCCGTTTCAAAAAGTAATATACGCTGAGAGATTTCAAAGCTTCGGCGGAGCTTTTCAAATGTGAAATCGAATTAAAACGTAAAATAAATAATATATTCTCCGTATACCTTTTTACAAAACAACTAAATGAAAGTACAAGCCACAAAATTCCATTGCACGATTTCTGAATCCAATTGTAGATATATATTAAGGTATTGGCTAAAAAGGTGCGCATATCCCGCCCAACAGAGGACCGTGGGCTGTGGGGTAGCCTAGTGGTTAAAGCGTTCGCTCGCACACCGATTACCCGGGTTCGATTCCCTACATGGGTACAATGTGTAAAACCCATTTCTCGTGTTCTCCGCCTTCATATTGTTGGAATATTGCATAAAACCATAATCACTCACTCACTCACTCACTCAGTCTACCATAAAACGTTTCGATCGTATTACATAGGTCTTAAATCAAACAACTATTTTTCTCTCATTTTTTATTTACCCCAAACTTACAATGTCAAATATGGTGTGTGATCCTAATAATGTTTTATGGTTGTGGCCATAGATTTCAGAGAACGTCGATGAAACAAACGAAATTACAAACCGGAAACCAGGTCATGTGTTTCCCAGCAAGAAAGTAGCCTTGAGCACTGTTGTTACTGCGTCGTAGACTGGCCTGTAGGGAGAGGAAGAATTACTGAATCAGTAAACAAAAAATTGAAAACATTGTCATACAAAGTGAACTAAAATTGAATGCATCGCCGAGCCATGGAGGCATGAATACCTTCCATCTTTAACAAGCACAAACTTCCAAAAATAAGGCGAGTGATAAAACACAATAGTCACTTCTTAGGATGTTAAAGTTAGTATTGTTTACCTCTTAATTTCTAATTTAAATCACTGCTTGGGGCCTTAATGTAAAGGGAAGGGGGATAACTTCTTGATATACGCCAAGAATAGGTTATTTTAATGGCAAAGCAAGGGACATGATCAACTATGGTAAAAGCAACCAAACTAACAACTTGAAATCACAATTAAAGTAAGTGTTTTCCAACATGTACAAAACCTTTTCATCGCCACATGCTAGAAGGTGACAGGAATCCAAATAGATATACATGATAAACTACAAGGCTGGTTGGAAAAGGCCTTGATTCGACCATTTTTCGTTTTTACATTCAGCCATCCTTCCCGAAACGGTCCCATACCGAAACTTCTCGAACGGTCACGTCTGTCATGTTTACATACAAGGGTGATAACTCTAACTTTCACTCCCTGCCGCCGACAGTATCGATATTTATAGTCTGTTTGCAGTGAAAACGTACAGGTGAATTTCACTTTAAACAAATATGTAAATCGAATACAGTGAAATTAAGATTGCGAATCCTCATAATTCTACCTTGCCAATTTAAAAATTAAATCTTAGATTTTTATTCAACTTAGGAAAAAAGTTGTTTAACAAACGATCATTGTTTCAAATCGCTTATATTGGTTTGTATTACAAGGGGGTAAGCGCAGTTGTTGGAACGGTGAAACAAATGCACGTGCGGTACGTGATGAGCGTTTACTTAGACCAACCTTCCTTGTTCTCGGTGTTTCATTTAATGTGCATACCCCCTTGTAATACAAACCAATAATACCGATTTGAAACTATGATCGTTTGTTAAACAACTTTTATCCTAAGTTGAATACAAATCTGAGATTTAAAATTTGAAATGGCAAGGTAAAATTATGAGGATTCACAATCTTAATTTCTCTGTATTTGATTTACATTTTTGTTTAATGTGAAATTCATCGGTACGTTTTCACCGCAAACAGACTATAGTACAAATAAATGTACGACAGTCTCTGGTGCCATCTGGCACCACTGAATGAAGACCTACCCATATTCCTATGCCCATCACCAGCACGAAGTACCCGGCCACTGCCACGTAGTCCCCGTTCTGTAGTTGCTCTGGCATCTTCCGTTCGTTGTGATAATAGTTGATGGGCCGTGGTGACAAGAGTTCACTTTAACTGAAATATAAGTGCGATTGCTCTTTTGAAATCAAATATAAAGTCAAAACGATAAGATGCAGAAAACGATCAACATTTCAATTGGTACTCTGGTTCAGGATCTGTGGTGCTAAAAAGACTACTGGTGTATGACAAAGAGGAAGAACATGTTAATGTGTCGCATTGTATAGCTGTCCCGCATATCAACAATTTGATGACGCTATACATGCGACAAATCGAAATATCACCTTCGTTATGACGAATTTTGTGTGTCAGGGACGTGAACATCCCTTCTGACACAGAGAGAGAGAGAGAGAGAGAGAGAGAGGGAGAGAGAGAGAGAGAGAGAGAGAGAGAGAGAGAGAGAGAGAGAGAGATAGAGAGAGAGAGGAGAGGAGAGAGGAGAGAGAGGGAGGGAGAGAGAGAGGAGGAGGGAGGGAGGAGAAGGGGAGGAGAGGGAGGGAGGGAGAGAGAGAGAGAGAGAGAGGGAGGAGACCCACACTTTTGTATAAGTCACCTCCACCTCCTTCAAAAAGTACCTGTTGTTTCGATCACCTTTAAGTCAATAACCCATGAGGTTTCCGCTGTCGTCATATGTCCTGTGTGACTGCGAAGACATCCTATTGTAATTGAACTATTTCGTAAGCCTAATGCTCACATATATAGACATTTTTGTCACGATTTTAAAAATGTTTTAGCTACACATGATTCATGCAGCCTATGAGCAACTGATTTTAATCTTTATGTAATGAGCAAACAACCAATCAAATTTACTATATATTTCTGTTCACCATATACGACTAATTGCGAATGCAGAGGACAAGTCAATGCAGTGGATTTTGCGCCTACTATTTTAGTATGAAAAGTTGTTTACGGCACTGACATTAACTATACAAAGTTGCTTCCTTCAGAATAACTGGAATGTCATCATCAAGGGTTTGCGTGGGTTTCATCAGTGTTGTAAAGGGAAAGAGATAAAGTGATAACACGAGACGATCAAGCGATACTAATATTGCTTTCTCCGTTGGTGTAATCGTATTCTCCTCTTGTAGAATCGTTTCTCCTCTCATGTAATCGTTTTTCCTCTCGTGTGATCGTTTTTTCCTTCCGTGTAATCGTATTCTCCTCTCGCAGAATCGTCGTTTCTCCTCTTGTGTAATCGTTTCTCCTCTCGTGTAATCGTTTTTCCTCTCGTGTGATCGTTTTTTCCTCTCATGTATTCGTTTTTCCACTTGCATAATCGTCATCACCTTTCGTGTAATCGTATTTTCCTCTCGCAGAATCGTCGTTTCTCCACTCGTGTAATCGTTTCTCCTCTTGTGTAATCGTTATCTCCTTGCGTGTAATCGTTATCACCTTTCGTGTAATCGTATTTTCCTCTCGCAGAATCGTCGTTTCTCCTCTCGTGTAATCGTTTTACCTCTTGTGTAATCGTTTCTCCTCTCGTGTAATCCTTTATCCTCTCGTGTAATCCTTTTTCCTCTCGTGTAATCGTTTCTCCTCTCGTGTAATCGTTTCTCCTCTCGTGTAATCGTTATCTCCTAGAATCGTGTAATCGTAATATTTCCTCTCGTGTAATCGTATTTCATCCTTCTCGCGTAATCGTTGCTCCTCTCGTGTAATCGTTTTACCTCTTGTGTGATCGTTATCTCTCTCGCGTCGTATCTCCTTTCGCAGAATCTCTCGTTTGTAATCGTTTTTCCTCTCGTGTAATCGTTTTACCTCTCGTAATCCTTTATCCTCGTGTAATCGTTTTTCCTCTCGTGTAATCGTTTCTCCTCTCGTGTACTCGTTATCTCCTCGCGTGTAATCGTATTTTCCTCTCGTAGAATCGTCGTTTCTCCACTCGTGTAATCGTTGCTCCTCTCGTGTAATCGTTTTACCTCTTGTGTCATCGTTATCTTCTCGCGTGTAATCGTTTTTCCTCTCGTGTAATCGTTTTTCCTCTTGTGTGATCGCTTTCTCCTCTCTTGTAATCGTTATCTCCTTTCGCAGAATCGTCGTTTCTACACTCGTGTAATCGTTTTTCCTCTCGTGTAATCGTTATATCCTCTCGTGGAATGTTTTTTCCTCTCGTGTAATTTGTCCTCCTCTCGTGTAATCGGTATCTCCTCGCGTGTAGTCGTTTTTCGTCTCGCATAAGCGTTATTTTCTCTTGTGGAATCAGGAAGCAGAACTTGTTGGATATCACTATAACAGGCAAATTGACACATTTCAATGTCTAAAATATTGGACCAAACTTCTTTCTGTATACACACACTGGCTACCCAAACAGACTTACCTTATGGTTGAAGGCGTAGACGAAGCTGGGCTAATATCGTGGTTATGGTAATATTTTACAGAAGGCAAAATTCAGAACTTTACACTACTCTTAAATTCAGTTTTATCTGTCATTTCTTGATTTCGCTGCAGTTGCCATAATCAAAAGATGGAAACAGCATTACTGGTGAAAATGAAGAAAAAATAATGTTTCTATTCTTTAGCCGTAAATATAGAAATGGGTATAATCTAATATTGATTTGTAGCCGAAGGGCATATTCTTAAGGATGAAACAATTAGGGCACTTTCATTATGATATCCTTCATTTGAGAAAGGGATTAATGTTATGCCCACTACATGTAAAGATGCTATAGTTCACCTTCTAAAACAAATATTTCATGATTGGCGGTGGGGGTAGCCTAGTGGTTAAAGCGTTCGCTCGTCACGACGATGACCCAGGTTCGATTCCCCACCTGGGTACAATGGTTGAAGCCCATTTCGGGTGTCCCCGCCGTGATATTGCTGGAATATTGCTAAAGGCGGCGTAAAACTTAACTCACTCACTGAAACATCAAGTGTCAAACCATTTTCGCATACCTGAACAAAATGCTAATGCTGACAAAGCGTTTTGCCCTGACATTTTAAGACCAACCGAAGTAATAAAGTCATTAAATTGCCTAAAAATCTTATAATATGAATAATAAACATAATAATAGGGGTCAGATATACGTGAATGAAATGGTAATTATACAGGTTTAATTGGAACCTTCACATTGTGTGTCCAAGTCACGGATTTGCCCAGATTTCATTGCTCTAAATATGCAGCAGGGTTATTCATATTCCGTGTGTGTCAGAATGACATGGGGTATGCGAGGAGCGTCCTAGCAGATCATGAATCAACACCAGTTATACCTATCTATAATGTCTTCAAACCAAACGTTCATGAGAAACTTTCTTCAACCTGTGCTGTATTTGACGCTGAGATCATTCATACATTATATGGGTATATTATGTTGGGTACAGAATATAATGATACTATGGAAAATATACACTTGCTTATTTTAAACGTTTATAGGAATTTGCAAATATGCTTAGAATAAGGCGACTTCAACAGATATAGGCCGTCATCGTACCCTCCTGTGACGTCAAATCAAGTGATAAAGTGCAGGCTGAAATTATCCGAGATTATTAGACAATTGCAATAATTTGCTGGGTGAAAGATAAAGTCATCAGAAACATGTACCCCAATTTTTATTTTAAAAATATGCTTTATTATGTTTCAATCGCGAAAACAGTTTCTGTTATCTGAGCGTCGGCCATTATGCATATTCCGCTGGAACTCACGTGACCTTTCTGCTCGTGACGTCATATGTGACTAGACTCTGCCAAAGAACAAGCACTACAGTAATACAAATCGTGTTGTTTCTGTCGTTTTGTAAATGATACGATGATGTATTCCGTTGCCTGGGGATGCACGGAATCATCGAACAATGGAAAGAGCCACCATTTCTTCCGTTTTCCAAGTAAAGAGACAGATTTAGGCAGAAGAAATGCTCCGATCATTCCGAGTCGGACGTATATGAAAGAGACATGCACACATGGGGTATGAAAATCCAAAAGCTAGGCTGGAGAAGGAAGAAGTACCCACGAGATTCATATATTCTCCATCATTCAAATTCCCTGTTGCAACTTACTGTCAGTGGTATTTTTAACATAAATTGAATCAAGTCCGATTGCCAGTCGAATTGCCCCAGCTACAATATGCCCCAGCAAATCTGGTCAAATTGCCCCGGAGTACTAGTTTTGGTCAAATTGCCCCAGGGTGGAAGTCAAAATGACCCAATTTATTTAAACTGATTAAAGATAGGCCACAAATGCATAGTTGTTGTCAATATTATGTTCTTCATATAAAAGTATAATGAAATCTGTAAGTTTTCTGAAAATTTCATGAAATGTGTACATTTACTGTGTGAATCAGGAAATGTACATATTTCCTAAATATTCCAGGAAATTTACACATTTCCTGATCTGACACATTCACCGTAACATATACATAGTTATGAGTTTACTGATGGAACATTTATCAGAAATATTACTTCCTAATAACTTTTATATGAAGAACATAATATCAATGTTGAAAAAAACTATGCATTTACGGCATATATTTATGGTGCTCGGTCACTATGGTATTCTAAGGTTATGACCGAGCACCATAACTATTTCCATAACCAAAAACTAGGGAAACATACATTGTTCTGACTAGTATTTTATAATTCATCAGTTTTCGGGGAATAACTTATCTTGAAATTGAATGTACAATGGGCCAAGCGGACTGAAATGCCGGGGAAAGATATCTGTTTGTCATGTTTAAACACATACAATGTACAGGTACTACACGGGTGGGTGACAGGTACGACACGGGTGGGCATCATAACTACTCACACAGACTTTAGTGAGCTTATTGTCTCTCTGGCTGTTCGGCAACTTCATCATATTTGTACGGTTAGTGTTTAGAATAACCACCACCGACAGGTATGACAGATTATAATGGTTTATATATACTGAGTCAAAAAAGAAACTTCACATTCTTTCTTCAGGGCACTATAAAAGAACAAGAGATGGTAAGATGGTAAAATTGCTATTATTTCATTGCTGAGATCTGTGTGATGTACTCGATACACTGACAGTGCCATAATCAGTTTCATTAGGCTACACCGCCGTTCCAAAACATGGGTAAACAGAATGTCAAGTTACAAGAATAA